AGAGAGATCAGTCTTGTTAGGTGGATATATCAGGTTTTGTTTTTGAAAACTTTTCATAATCAAATTTTAAACAAGTATTATTCTGTGAGAATTCCGCAGTTATTTCAAAACTTGAAGTTACTGCTAAAATATTTGGTTTAAGGATTCATGTATTTAATGTGAATTTCTCCTAGTTATATCTAAAGCCAATTTCCAGGACACTTACCTAAAATTTCATTTTTGGCGGATTCTTTTTTTTTCTTTTTTCTTTTTGAGACAGAGTCTTGCTTTGTTGCCCAGGCTAGAATGAGTGCCATGGCGTCAGCCTAGCTCACAGCAACCTCAAACTCCTGGGCTCAGGCAACCCTGCTGCCTCAGCCTCCCAAGTAGCAGAGACTACAGGCATGCGCCACCATGCCCTGCTCATTTTTTCTATATATATATTAGTTGGCCAATTAATTTCTTTCTATTTATAGTAGAGACGGGGTCTCACTCTTGCTCAGGCTGGTTTTGAACTCCTGACCTCGAGCAATCCACCTGCCTCGTCCTCCCAGTGTGCTAGGATTACAGGCATGAGCCACCGTGCCCGGCCTTGGTAGATTCTTAAAAATAGACTTTCCAGGCCAGACCCTGTGTCTCACGCCTGAATTCTAGCACTTTGGGAGGCTGAGGCGGCAGGATCACTTGAGGTCAGGAGTTCAAGTCCAGCCTGAGCAAGAGTGAGACCCCCATCTCTACAAAAAATAGAAAAATTAACTGGGTGCAGTGGTGCATACCTGTAGTCTAGCTACTCAAGAGGCTGAGGCAGGAGGATCGCTTGAGCCTGAGCGTTTGAGGTTGCAGTGAGCTATGATGATGCCACTGCACTCTAGTGGGGCAACAGAGTAAGACTCTGCCTTAAAAAACAAACAAACAAAAACCCTAAGCAACATGAACATATAAAGTAAAAACTAAGAAAGTCTCTGTCTCAAATGCCACCTTTCATCAGTCCTGCTTTCAAGGGAGTAACTGTTTCACGTGTTTTGTTTCATGTGCTTTGTTTTGGGGATGTGTATGTGTGTGTAAATAACCTTTTGAAAATGAAACTTGTAGTGTGTAAATAAAATAACTTTTAAAAAATGCAATTTCAATATTATTCATGTCTCTAGCATAAGGTAAGCACTCAATTAATATTAATTGATTTGAATTCTAGTGTCTTTTATTTCTGTAGTTTGCTTTCTGCATTCAGAGCCTGTACAGTCAGGTTTCATTTTAGATTTTTTTTTTAAAAAAGGGTAATTTGCTGTATTATGAATCCTCTGAGGCAATCTTATATGCCTTTCGTGACATCTATATCTTAAAGATGCTAGTTACATCCTTTATAGAGTGACCATATAATTTGTTGTCTAAACTGGGACCCTTTTGAGAGTGAAGGAGGCTGCTAATAATTTTGTGAAGATGATAGGCATAAGCAGACCATCCCAGGCAAGCTAAGATATATGGTCATCCTATTTACAGACTTCAGGTTTTTATTTGTTTTGGTTAGTTTTGTTTGGTAACTTTGTATGTGGTTTGTTGAATAAATTGGGAGTATATTTTGGAAAGACAAACTATCAGTGATTCAAGTAGAGGAAAATGGTATAAATCCCAAACCTTTAGTGTTTAGTTGTTCGAGTAACCAAAGCACTTTATGGATTCGGTGTTTCGTTCTTTAAGTCAAAGGGTATATCAGTATTAGATGAAGACATCATGAAGAGTAAGGAGTTGTGCTAAGAGTTATGATCAGCGTTGATGAATTTTAGTACTGGTGTTTGTATCTGATTCATGTTTGGCAAAGCCGCACATTTCTGTCACAACAATATGTGAGCAATTCAGATTTATTTAGTTTTGGCTTTTTTTTTGTTTAATGGAAACTCGACATTATGCCTAAATATTTTCTTTGTAAATTTAAAGATAAAAGCAAGTCTGGTTTTTCAAAGAACTAATGTATGTTCAAAAATTGATTCTTTTATGGAAGAGATGGCTTTCTTAATATTTTACTCTTTGTTATAAAGGTAATAGTATAATTAGGTACAGTTTACCTCAGTACTTTTATGAATATCTCATTGGATTTTTTTCTGATCTGTTTTCCACACTGTTTTATCACTTGTTTTTGTCTTCTGCTCATACTTTTATTACCATTCCATATTATCTTCTTCAGAGTTCATCAGCTGTCTGTTTTTCTTTTTTAAAGGGATGTTAAATACACTTTAACTTATACTTATGTCCTTCATTGTACATCTCCATGAAAATTGCATGTGGTTTATAGAGTTATCTAGTTATTCATTCTTTTTGTTTTTATCCATCGAATACTCATTGAGTATCTTCCATATGTTAGGCACTGTGTAGGGCCTGGGGATATGGTGAAGAATCCTGGTTATCTAAGTCTCCAAATTATAAAGGGGAAGTAGAATATCTACTACTTTGTTACTTTACAGATACTATTTCATTTCATCTATCCAGTAACCTTGAGTAGTTTATTATTATACCCATATTGATGAGAAAATGAAGGTGGAGGATGTAACTTGACTAGATCACACAGATAATTTTGTTAGGAATTTACAGATTCAGGATTTAAGAACTAGATCAGTTCTTAAAGCTTGCGCTCATTTTCACTACATCAAGCCCCATCAGGCAATTTTTAGATTATATGTCATGTCATTTTAGACCTTATGTCATGAACTCTTTTCAAATATAGAAAAGTGTAATGGATTGAAGTCAGAGGACTAGGTTGGAATTCCAACTTTAAAATAATTTCGACTGGATGATTTGGGTAAGCACTTATAAAATAGGTGTAATAATATCTACCTACCTTGCTATGTTGTGATGATGAAATGAGAAAGCTTGCAAATGTGTCTAGCAGAGTACCTAATACTCTGAAAAAATTTAATTTTTATTATGCATCCATGGTGAATCCATGGTATTAGAACCGTTCACTTAGGACTATGGAAAAAGACCTTATCTTTATGGAGCATTCTTGGGATACCTAGCAGTTGGTAACATAGCTATTACTACTATGTTGATAATAGAGAAGCCTTAGATTATCAGGACATTGATTTAAATGGAAAATACCTTCCGAAAGGTACAGTGGAGGAAAAAGTTTAATACTAGGCTCAATTTTATGCATGTTTTTGAATGGATAATCTTCACTCCAAATGTATCGATAGTTGAGTATTGTTTAGGATCTTAAAAAGGTAGAAATAATTAACCATGGAACTCTGTATCTCTAAATCCTATTCTTCCTTTAGTAGAAGTAGATAGACTACCGGGACAATAGGGATTATAAATGTCTCCAAATTTTCAGTAATCCAAGAAAATCACAGATTACTATGCCTCACATAAAATCATGGTTTTATTAATATTTCTGGTTTCTTTAGTATACTTTTTTCATCATTAAAACAACTTTTAAGTCATTTGATAGGGTGACAAAATGTCATTTCCCTAAAAACTGGATTTGCTAACTTGATTTCTAAGGAACAGAAAAGCCATTAAATTTGGCATAATGTTTTTTTTTTTTTTAACTTGCCACTTGCTGTTTATGTACCTGCTTTTTCCTCTGTGTAGTTACAGATTTTTCTCTTATTATTCCTTTACTTTATTATTGATGTCACACTCACAGCATGGTAACTTTCTATTCTCTCTTTTCCTTACCTTTATGGAAGATCAGTACCACACTTGCTTTTTTCCAGTCTTCTGGTATCTCTCCAGTTCTTGAATTTTCAAAAATAATTGTAAGTGATTCAATTGTAAGTATGCCCTATACTTCTTTCATTGGATGAAAGCTTATCTGTGATGCATGTCATCTCAAATTGCTAATTGTGAACATAAACTTTCCAGTACTCTCATATTTTAACCAAAATGACATTCTTGCAAAGTTTTCATTACTTTAATTACAGGGTGTATGTTTTGCTAATTTTTAAAAATTGTCTACTTTTGTCCAGATTCATGCCATTTATTTTTAATTAGGAGGCTTGTTTTCTTTTGTTTTTCCTTCGTTAAATTTTTAAGCTGTTATTCTCTTTTACAGTTCTATTACTGGTAACTTACTCTGTTTTTTTGTTATTTTGGATTTTTCTATGAGACATACATGGGATAATTTATTTCTGTTTTTCTTTTCTCTCTTTGCAACATATTTTTATTACATACTATTAATATTTTTGTCCTGTATAAGAGAAAGTACTACGTGTAGGGCACTTAACCCTTTTTGTTTTCACTGTGAAATACAATTTGATATGAAAATTCATTTTCAATGTTATTACTTAGCTTTCTTATTCTACCTTATTCTTGGTTCCTCAAGTCACCCATAAATTTCTTAATTTCCTGATTCTGATCTTAAATGACCTTTGACCACCTTTATCTTTGCTATTCATTACTCTTCTTCTGTTAGCAGGAATTACTTTAAAAGCTCTTACTCTGCCTCAGAAATTGCCTCCTGTACTGTTATACTATGGAAGTATCTCTCCAAAGCAGCTATAATTCATATGTACTTCACACAGATTTAAGGATTTCCCTTGCCACAGCTCTTCTTTTTTATAGGGGTGAAACATTCGGCTGTGTGTATGTGTATAGTGTTTAATGTCTCACCTAAAATCATTAATAAGTATTGATTTAATTTTGTTGACATTTGCTAGCTTTTAAGTGCCTTCTGAGAAAAATTGTGCTATTCAACATAAGTATTGGAAAGATACTAGGAAGTCCCGATAGACTGTTTTGAGGCAGTTTGATATTCTTTTACCAGTGTAGGTATTATTTCAGAAATTTTTTAAAAATTGGCCCTGGTGTATATATTTCTCTTTCTATATTAAACTGGATACATAGATCCTGGATAATACAGAATGATGTGTTACTCTTGACTTTATGTGTCTACATTAGCTTTTTTTAAAAATAAAGTATTTTTGAAAACTAGAGACTATTTTGTTTTTAGCATATTTACCATGTAAGTGGTTTTTCTTTACATAGATTTCTAAATTTAGAAATATGTTAGTTGCGGTTTAATTTCTGTTGAGATTCTTCTAATTTAATTTCTTGTTACATCAAAGACCATTTTGTCTTTATGTCTCTATAATTGTGTTAAATTTAAACTTGGAGTGAATTCATACAGAAATCATCAAGTTATGGTGCACCACCAATATAGTATATTTGGGAGCAGCAACCTCCTTGGTCCCTATTGCCAACAGTGCAATATAGTCACTTCAGTGACTACTGAAGGACCAGTACAAAAGAGAAGGAAAGACAGACGAGAAGAAAAGGAGTGAGGGAGCAAAGAAAAGGAATGAGAAAGAGGACAAAAAAAGTAAGAGACATCTCAGGAGAAGAGGTCCTGGGGAAGAGTGATAGGGCGGCATCAGTGGTTGCCAGACACTACAGCCAGTGCCACATGTCTTCATTCAACACTGAGTGGGCCCTGGAAGGTATAGTGACGAATTAATGGCACAGTTCTGCCCTCATGGCAGAGGGCAGATACATATTCTGAGAAGTCACTCAGTTAAATATTTAATTATGATAAAATGTGATAAATATTAGGGCAAGTACAGAGTACTAGAATGTATATCTGCTTAACTCCCAACCTACTTGTTTTCAAAAGCTACTGTAAGAAGTATGAAGTCACAATCTGTCTTAAAGGGTCTCTCCTATTCTTACTTCTTTTCAGAGGAAGACAGACCACCCTCAACATGGTAAAGGACTATGTTTTTAGTCCTGTTTTTTTTAAAAAAAAGTCCATTAAGAAGGATTAATATGATTAAGTGTAGTACCTTAGTGTTCTAAATGTTGAATGGAAAGAGGAACAGTTAATACTTTTCAGGTAATTTTTATGAAATAGTCCACATTAGAAAGTAATGGGTTTCTCATCTCATGAAATATCTAGCAAAGACTAGATGACTTTCAAAGATGTTACAAAAGTAACTTCTGTGAGTGGGAGTTTGGACTAGGTCACTTTGATGTGTACTGTAAGTCACAATATATAGTCAGACTTGTACTTCAGCGCATTATTCCTACCAGATCTGGGAAAACAGTTTAATGACTGTTAACTACTTGTCTGTATTACTTATAAATCTGTACATGTTATTTTATTGATTGAAGATGGGCCAACTGTATATGTAGATTTTCTTTTTAAGTATATCAAAAATTTATAGGTTACTGTGCAAGGGCAGTTAGGCCATTTGTGGGATTTTAAGTTGATAACTGTCATTATAAACCTCCCATTATACATTAAAGAAAAATGGATGGGTGAGTAGTTCTTTGACTTGGAGCTTACCCTAAAAGTAAAAAAAAAGTTGTGGAAGACTACTGAGAAGAGAACCAAGGTGAGATTCTTATGGTTCTACCACCATTAAAGGGTTGTTTTTGAAGAATTAGTTTAGGTGTTTAGGTGAGGAGATAGCAGTACTTTAAATCTAATTTTATTCACTGGATGATTTTTAATCTAATGGTGATTTGTTCAAAGGGACACATTAATAAGATTTTTACAATGGTAGTTCTAAATGGATTCAGAAGAGGGAAAGTTGTTAAAGATCAGGGGTTTCTCTTAGATGCTTCACTTTGTATTCATTTATGAATATATCTCTGACCTTTATAAATATTTAGCAAAAACAATGCATTTGGCTGATTTTAACAGGGTCTGATAGTTAAATTATTAATAATTATGTTATATTGCTCTGTGAAACAAAACAAAACTAAGCCAGTCTAATTTTTTTATAGTACAATAACATGGAAAGAAATTGCTTCCTTCTTTCATAGTGTAGTACTATAGTTAGTAGCTATGAAATGTGATGTATTTATCCTTCCCTTTCTACAACTTTTATTCTCATATACTACATGTTAAATGTCTCTAATAGGAACTTCTTGGGTTACCTTTAAAAATGTGTTCAAGAGATGTTTAACCCCAATTTAAGTACACTAAAACGTACTTAAACCACATTTATAAATATAAATGTTTAATCACATTTTATAAATATATCTGGATTTTGTCGACATTGTTTATTATGATTTTTCTTTCTTAAACTTTGTTTTTATACATGACACCGCTCATTGGGAAGGGTTTTTAAAATAGTCAAACATTTTCTTGAGATGTATGCAAAACAAAAGTGGATTTATTACATTCGAATTTGAAAAATAAAATAAATTACAAGTTAGGTTGTCTTTCCCATGGTCTTAATAGGACTAAGGTTTTTAAGGTTTTGGTTCAGATTTTGAATTTTAGTTTGAAAGTTTAGAGAGCCACGGTATCTTGTTAGTGGCTGGACTAAAATTAGGATTTATTACATTCGAATTTGAAAAATAAAATACAAGTTAGGTTGTCTTTCCCATGGTCTTAATAGGACTAAGGTTTTTAAGGTTTTGGTTCAGAATTTGAATTTTAGTTTGAAAGTTTAGAGAGCCACAGTATCTTGTTAGTGGCTGGACTGAAATTAGAAATCAGGTTTTCCAACCCATTGTTGTTTCTATAATACTATACCATCTCAATTTGGTGCTTTGAGACAATGGCTGAAAAAGTGCTTTAATTATGATAAAGTGTTATATATGCAAAGATGAGGTGTTGCTATAATACAAAATGAACTTTGGCCTCAATTTACTAAAATGGGAATGTGAAGTTCAGCATGCTTTGGCCAAAGGCAGGAAAGATCTGACGAGTGATAGTCAAGTTTGAGATGGGTATGTTGAAATACTATATTTCACCCATTTAGGACAGAGTTTTGTGGTTGGGTTGGGATTCTGACAGTAATGGTTGCTGACCCTTACTCTCCTGCTTAACTGTATGACAACTCAACACATAAATGTGGCACGCTGGTAGTCTTGTCTCCAACTACTTTGTCTATTACACCTAGGATTGGTGTGGTTTTGGGTCAGAGATGATTAAGAACTCAAAAGTTTCTTTTAGGTAAAATTAAAACATAGGAATTCAGTGTTCTTAGAGCTTAATTTTAAGTGTACAAAAAGTAGGACATGCAAATACTGGACTTTTAAAGTGAGAAATAAGTGGGCTCTTTAAATAAATAAACATTTACACCAAGTCCAGAGTGTAGTGTTCATGCCAAAGGTGAAAATTAAGTAGGAAACTTGATTAGGAGCGAAGTGTTGTCATTTTAACTTAGAGAGGGGAATCTTCTTTAGAAGAAGTGAGAATTTGGAGTTTTGGGTTTTTTTCTTTGATAAGGGAGGTGGGAGGAAAACGTCAGAGTTGATGGGGTGGGTTAAGGAATGGGAGAACTAAACAGTGAGAATATGAAGTGAAGATTAAGGGAATGTTTCTATGGTGGTGATTGGCAGCCAATTATGGGGTTTTGGGGAGAGAAAAAGTGATTCTAAAGAGAAGAATAAATCCTAATTTGAGCAGTAGCATGTGTGATAAGAATGGATAGTGCTTGAAGTTGATGAGGGAGATTGATATATCACTATTCTTACAGAATTTAGATAATTTAAGTAGATCTATTTGTGTAAAAGTACTATTTCTATTTTAAAAATTAAAATATCTTTCATGTATGAAGGATGAAGTATTTTATGTACTATTAAACGTTGCTTGGGTTCTGCTAAACTTAATTGCAAATTTTCTTTTTCTTTAGGGATTGGATTCAGGATTTGTTCCTAGTGTTCAAGACTTTGATAAGAAACTTACAGAGGCTGATGCTTACCTACAAATCTTGATAGAACAATTAAAGGTATGGCATTAGTTTGTATATTAAGTTGCTATCACGTAGTAAATGTTACTTAACTTGATTTTGAGTAAAAACAGTTACTTGATGTTATTTATGATTCTCATGTGCTTCTTCAGCAATTTTTAAAGCTGACTTATTCAAAGATATTTATCTCTAATTATATTGGTAAATAGCGTATTTGTATAATGTACTCTTTTAGTCATTAAGGAAAAGGTAAATATCTAGACATAATTAGAAGAAAATAAGGGGAGATTAAGTTCATATTCTGTTTAAGATTTCCATGAAACCGGTAAGTTTTATTAGCTCAATTTCTAATGCTTTGTTTTTTAATTTCTTGGTGTCTGGGGGGAATATAGGGAAAGTGATTTCTCTGTCTCCTTTATCATTACTCCTTTAATTCCTGCTTTAAAATTAATTAAATTCAGAGGTCCTGGGGTAAGGACTGTAATCATGGAAGACAAAGCAGAAAAAAGTCTTTGAGTTTGAACTGATATTTTAATTTCTTAAAAGTTACCTATTTTCTTTTGCTTATAATTCTTCCAAAGTGATCTTGATTGTTTAAAATCATTCATATAACAGAATTTGACTTGTCACAATGCCTTGAAAAAAAAGGCACATGTTGTCTTGAAAAATATATACATATAAATCATCCCTGGAAGAAATGTGTTTAAGAACTCAAGTTCGCTTTTGTGTGTTTAGTGAATGTACACAGTGTAGGAAAGTGTCTTGATGCTATAACCATTTTTTTTTTTTAATCCGGTAGCTTTTTGATGACAAGCTTCAAAACTGCAAAGATGATGAACAGAGAAAGGTAACTCCTATAACACATGATTTTGGCTGTAAAATGTTTAAATCCAAGAGCCTTTTGGTTTTAAGTGTTTTGACTATTGTAATAGTTATTAGTGACCTATTGATCAATATGGACCTCAGGAGGACTCTCCTGGTGAATTTCTGCTATGACTTCATTCATAATTAAACAAGAGGATAATGTATAAAATTCCAATACTCTTTATGTAAACAGCACATTCCTAGGAGCAAATTCTTTCCTGTTATGTTATCATATGTTGAAGGTAGAAAGTTATTTTGTTATATTACATGTGGTCACTTCAGATATTTAATAAACCAACAGGCAAGAATTTTTAGACAAGCAGTCACATAGGAAACAAAGCAAATGCTGCTTTAATTATAGTTCATCTACTTTGTAGTTTGTGTATTATCTTTTTTCTAATTAACATTTTTCCTTCCTTGACTAGGTTTTCTGATATAGCATTCTTTGGTTTTGTTTTGTTTTGTTTTTTGTTTGTTTTTTGCTTTTCTGTATACTATAGCCTTGTATTTGGCTTTTTAAAACTTAGTAATAGTAGTAATTCATGTTCTAACTTATCTTCTGTTCTTAGTTTTGGAATTTAGTCATGTCATTTTTAAATAACTTAGGAAAGGAAAATAAGCATTTATAAATCAGTGAAATCTGTAGAAAAGATAAAATTTGTTTTCAGGTAAGGAATAAGAATGTTTTATATTATTCTTACAAATCTTGAATTGAATCACATGAATTTTGTTTAAGATGGTTTGATCCATAAAATGCATGGAATTTTTATTTAAATATTTGATTTAGATAAAGACCAAAATATAACAAAAAACACTCCCTTCCCAACTTCCTTATACTCACTTAGAATGAGTACATTTTGGTCCAATTATTTAAGTAACCAGTGAAAAACAACAATGATGCTTCTTTACACTTCTGATTATTTCTGTTAAAATTTATATTTTTCACAGAAAATTGAAACTCTCAAAGAGACAACAAATGTAAGTTATGTGTTCAATAAACTCTGAATTTGCATTAGAAAGTTGTTTTAAAATGTTATTTCTATTTTAAGATGCTACTGTTGACAAAAACAATTGAGATTTTAGTTTTTATGAATTTTTATAGGAGTGTTTAAGAATTATGTTATTTTCCAAAGGAGTTTAACCTTACAGAATAATCCCTCTAATTGAAATTGATTTTATGTACCACTTTATCTGTTTCTGGTTTTGTCTGAGATCCTTGGATAAAATGTACCATCCATGTACAATGTGTATATTCAATTTCTTATTAAAATATATTGAGATTCAAGTTTTCTGATGTACTGGCCTTCTGACATTATATAATGGGCTACTAATGAGATTTATATCTTGATCAAAACCAGGCAAAATAGTATTTCAGGTGTACCAATATTTTGACAGGATCCTTTACTCTCTATGCTTCCATCAAAGTCTTAAGTAGATGTCTTAGGGTTGCTGCTGTTGATTTAGAATCTGAAAGTTAATCAGATTCATATGTTTTTCTGTTTGAAGTGTTGAAAACCATTTAGAGCTGTGCATGGTGGCGTGCACCGGTAGTTTCAGCTACTTGGGAGGCTGGGGCAGGGGGATTGCTTGAGCCCAGGAGTTTTAGACTGTAGTGTACTACTATGGTTGTGCTTGTGAGTAGCCACTGCACTCCAGCCTGGGCAACATAGCAAGATCTTATCTCCTTAAAAAAAAGAGAAAAAAAAATCATTTAGATATTATTCATTATAAATTAACAATCTTTGGCTTTCTTTAACATTCATAGCATTGCTAATGAATAACTTAATTTCACACTATCAACATATCAGAACCTGCTGGGTATCCAGAAAGGGTATTTCTTGTGGCATATAGACTTAAATCATCCTGTACATTTGAAATGATTTTTGTATTTTAAGCTTTAACTATGATCATATGACCATTTTATTGGAGGCAATCCTAAAATCAGTGTTTTGTCTTTATAGAGCATGGTAGAATCAATTAAACACTGCATTGTATTGCTGCAGATTGCTAAAGTAAGTAAATTTTACTTTTGTTTACATTAATGTAATGCAATTTATGGATTATAATGGCATTTTTCTTTAATAGCAAAAAAACTCAGTTCTGAGAAAGATATGACCTCTCTACAGTATTGTGGGCTTCCTGATACTGTTGAACAGCTATTGTGTTTGGATGTTGTCTTATCTACTGTTTTTGGTAACGTAATTTCTGGTGGTGGCTGGGAAGGAGGGAAGTATGTTTGAATGACTCACCCTTTCCTTCCATTTTATCCATTGTTGCTGCTTGGAACCAGGGACATATTATATAAAACCTTTTACAGAAAAGTTTTTCTTACAAAATAAGGGGATTATGTTTTGGCGTTTATTTTTCTTATCCACAATGAAGAGTATAGTAGAGATATAATATTTTAAAAAATTGTAGATTTTTCTGATACTGAGCTATATTAATGAACTTCACTGTTTTTTATTCACAAAATATATTTTTAATTATTGTGGGTTAAAAACTTCATGTATATTATCTGCTTTTCTGAAAAATTTTGGCATATTCAACCTAAATATATATTTTATTGTCTGAAATTTTCAGAAATAAGAATTTTATTATTTGAGAATAAGAATTTTTTGAAAACTTTTTTCCCCCATTATTTCTACCTGTCTGTGCCCCTGTATTTTACAGCAAGTGGCTAGAAGTGGGTGGGTGGACAGCTCGTGCCATGTTGAGAAATGATGTTTGTGTGAGTTTTTAATTACTAGTCTGTTTTACTTACTAAATTGTATATATTTGTTTGCTGAATCATAGAGACTTTTTACCTAGCATTGTTAATGACAGTAGTGTAGGACAATCCATTTGTTTTTGGATAGTAAGGATATTCAGTTTATAAATTAAAGGGGCAATGTCATTTTCATTTGAGGCCAGATCAATATTAAAGTGTCAGAACATAGGGCTTGTGTTCCTTTTCTAGATATCATTGATATCTAGATTTCCTATGTATGTGTCTAAATTTTTTTATCAACTTTTGTGGATCAGCCGGGCACGGTGGCTCACACCTGTAATCCTAGCACTCTGGAGGCTGAGGTGGGCGGATTGCTTGAGGTCAGGAGTTCGAAACCAGCCTGAGCAAGAGCGAGACCCTGTCTCTACTATAAATAGAAAGAAATTAATTGGCCAACTAATATATATAGAAAAAATTAGCCGGGCATGGTGGCGCATGCCTGCAGTACCAGCTACTCGGGAGGCTGAGGCAGTAGGATTGCTTGAGCCCAGGAGTTTGAGGTTGCTGTGAGCTAGGTTGATGCCACGGCACTCACTCTAGCCTGGGCAACAAAGTGAGACTCTGTCTCTAAATAAATAAATAAAAAAATAACTAACTAACTAACTAACTAACTAACTAACTAACTAACTAACTTTTGTGGATCAAAATATATTCTGGGCCAGGCCGGTGGCTCATGCCTGTAATCCTAGCATTCTGGGAGACCGAGGCGGGAGAATCACTTAAGCTCAGGAGTTCAAGACCAGCCTGAGTAAGAGCAAGGCCCTGTCTCTATTAAAAAATAGAAAAATTAGCTGGGCATCGTGGTGCATGCCTGTAGTCTCAGCTATTAAGGAGGCTGAGGCAGAGAATTGCTTGAGCCCAGGAGTTTGAGGTTGTTGTGAGCTAGGCTGATACCACAGCACTCTACTCAGGGCAACAGAATGAGATTCTGTCTCAAAAAAAAAAAAAAAAAAAGATATATTCTAAAGCTAAGAAGAAGGGAGGCACGCCTGTAATCCTAGCACTCTGGGAGGCCGAGGCTTGAGGATCGCTCGAGGTCAGGAGTTCAAAACCAGCCTAAGCAAGAGCGAGACCCCCATCTCTACTAAAATAGAAAGAAATTAATTGGACAACTAAAACTATATATAGAAACAATTAGCCGGGCATAGTGGTGCATGCCTGTAGTCTCAGCTACTTGGGAGGCTGAAGCAGCAGGATTGCTTGAGCCCAGGAGTTTGAGGTTGCTGTGAGCTAGGCTGATGCCACAGCACTCTAGCTCGGGCAACAAAGTGAGACTCTGTCTCAAAAAAAAAAAAAAAGAAGGAGGAGGAGGGAGGGAGGATAGGGGATAGGATTGGAGGAATGAAAAGGGGTTTTTCTTGGCTATAGAATGACATGGGTTAGTAGAGGGTACCTACAGCTATCCAAAAGCCTATATATCAATAACCAGTAAACTACACCATGCCTGGTATGTGTGTGAGTAGGTATTTTAGGATATTCCTACCGCCTTCTATAAAAGATTAAGGGAGCAGAAGAGCTGATACAGTGGTTGGGCCAGTTTGAGTGATTTCTGAAAACCATTCAGAACTTTAGATCATTGCACAGTAGAGCAGCCTAGCCTATTTCAGTAACTCATCAAGAACATTTTTAATGTTCTCTGTCTTTGAATGTATTACATTTCAAATTACTAAAGCTCTCTTCTAGAACTTTGTACAGGTTAGTGTGGCCCTACTGTCTATTTTAGCCCAGCTTGGTAGACCTACATTTTAAGGTCCTTCACAATGGGTAACTTTGATCACATAAATGGAGTTTGGCTTTTTATTTATTCCAGGAGGAAGTTTTGTTGTTGTTAGGGCTTTTTATTTACAAATACAACCCTCAGTTATATTTGTACCTTATGTGAATTCTGTATCTTTAAACTCAATTTAAATGTAAATCAGACCATGTCACTTGCCTGCTCAAATTTCCCTAATGGTTTCCCATCTCATTTGGAATGAAATCTAAACTATTTTTCTTAACATCATTTGAATCATCACTTACTCTCTCTCCTTATCACCTACCCTTGCTTGATCATGCCATTCCATTGACATTGGTCTGTTTTCTTTTTCTCAGACAAGCCGAGCTTTTTTGGTCTGCTTTGGGATTTTGACTTGCTTTTCTCTACTCTTGAAAGGCATTTCCCACTGATTTCCCCCAGGCTTACTTCCTTTCTTTATTCAAATTTCTGCCACATCTGTGGGAAAGACTTTCCTTTCCACCTAAAATACTGTCTACCTTCCACTAGTTTCTTTTTCTTCATGGCTTGGTATCACTAGCCAAATTTACATGATATATTTATTTACCTATTTATTGGCTCTGCACTAGACTACAATCTCTGTGAGGACTTTGTCCATCTTACCACTTGTATTAGTCTCCTCAGGCTGCCACAACAAAATACTCATGCCCTGGGTGGTTTAAACAACAGAAATTTGTTTTCTTACAGTTTGCAGGCTAGAAGTCTAAGATCAAGGTTCTGGCCTATTCGGTTTCTGGTGAGGGCTCTTCTGGCCTTTAGGCAGCCATGTTATCACATAGCCTTTCCTTGGTTCCTCTGCACAGAGAGCAAGCACGCACACAGGTGGGAGCACAAGCTCTCTGGTGTCTGTTCTTATAAGGATACTAATCCTGTTGAATCTGGGCCCCAACCATATAACCTCATTTAATCTTAATTACTTTCTTAGAGGCCCCATCTCCAAGGACTTCAACATGAATGGTTGGGGGAGTAACACAAACATTCAGTCATTGACACCATTATACCCTCAGTGCCTACAATTGCCTGCCACGTAGTGTAGGTGCCTGGTAAATAACTGAATTACTGAATGATTTTACTAGTGTATAATTTTTAATGGTTGCATGATTTAGTATTTTCACTGTTGGTTTAGTATTTTCACTATATGTATGATTTTTTTATTTAGCCATTTCTCTCTTGTGCTGCAATGATCATCACTATAAATTAATCTTCAGATAAATTTTAATCAGTAATACATGATTAAGATACACGATTTTAAAATAATAATGAGAGAGGCAGAATTGCATAATCTTAAAGATCATGAACTCTGGAGCCAGGCTGGGTTTGAATCCCAGCCCTACCACCTGAGCTGTTTATTTGTCCTCTGAATGCTTTGGTTTATATTCCATATAAAATAGATATGATACTAGTACCGTGTTTCCCCGAAAATAAGACCTACCCATAACATAAGCCCTAGCAGGATTTCTAAGCATTTGCGCAATATAAGCCCGACCCTGAAAATAAGACCTAGTGATGGGTGTGGCTACGTATCTGAACAACCCATGCATTTCCTTGTGGAGCGGTAAAGAAGACGAGCAGCCCTTCTCATCTGTCCCATCGTGACAGCTTCTATCCCAGAGGTGACCGGAAAGGTGCAGGCAGCCTCACCAACAAGGTCAGCTCCCCCTGTCAGGTCCCAGCCATCCTGTGCATGCTGCAAGCTGAGGCTTTGAGGGGAAAATAACAAATCCCCTGAAAATAAGCCCTAGGGTGTCTTCTTGAGGAAAAATAAACATAAGACCCTGTCTTATTTTCAGGGAAACACAGTACTTGTTTCTTACTGGATTATGAAACTAAATGAATTATTATTTGTGATGCTCTTAGTACTAGGCATCAGCCCTAAATAGTATTTATTAAATTTAAAAACTTTAAGAGGACATGTATTTTAAGGTGACAGTGTCACATGTTGGTAAAATGGGAGAACTTCCATCTAATACTAATGGAAATGGAAATTGTCATAGCCACTTTGGAGGACTATTATTCACTGGCAGATTAATAAAATATTGGAATAAGCTGTTTTCATGGAGATCCTGCCATCTGAGACCCCAAAGTGGTAAAAGGGGAAAGCTAACTTGATACCTTTTTGATTTGGGGCTGATTAGTGTCAGCTTCTTAGAGGTAGCATGCTCCTTCCAGTTTTGATTCTTTTTATTCCCCACTCCAAAAAGCTGCTTTCTGCCTAAATGATTAGTGTATTGGTTCCCAAAGTTTGCTGCATGTTAGAATTATCTATGGATATTTAGCAGTTCTCATGTCTGGCTCCTACCCCTAGACATTCTGTTGCATTTCTGTTGAGGTATAGGGTGTCACCTGAGCATTGAGATAGTTTAAAACTCCCAGGTGATTCTAATGTGCAGCAAAGTTTGGGCACCACTTGGTTAGTGGGATTTTCAGGTGGGCTGTGTTATCTCTGAAGGTCTCCTTCTTCCCTTTTACCATTGGTGGAGAAGCTTTTGTTTTGCTCTTGGGGAATTTAGGAAGAGTGGGAGAGGAAGCAGAATGAATATAATCTGGGGGGCCCTTACAGCTGGAGACTTGATCGGTTCTTCATCAAGGTCGCATGATATGACCACATACCACAGCTCATAAGTCTTGGTATAATGTCTGTTAAAATGACATGTGCAGCTACTTGACTGAGATTTACCATAGGATTTTTGCATCGTTAATTTACAAAGAGCATTGAAATTGAGAGAAAAAGTATGCTAGACATGCTTTGGTTATGAAGTATAGTTGGTACAAACTTGGAAAACTCTGGTTCATTTTCACCAAAGAGTTAAATTATGCAGTTAACATTTCAATATAATTAAAATTCAGGCATTTTCAGTGTCAATTCTTATAGCAAAGATAGAGATTATTAGCATTTTCAGGGTAGACACAGATAAGATTGATTTATGTAATTTATAATGTTTTGCATAAAATAGATACAAATAAATACTGTGGATTGTTCATTCAAACTTGAGATTTTAATTTTGTCAGTTATTTATTGAATATCTTAAATCTAGACCAGTGCTTTCTGGTAGAAATACAAGAGCCACAAATGCAATTTAAGATTTTCTAGTAACCACATTTAAAAAGGTAAAAAAACAACTGAGATTAATTTCAATAATACATTTTATTTAACCTTAAATAATTTTACCTTTATTTAAAAAGGTAAAAAGAAACAACTGAGATTAATTTCAATAATACATTTTATTTAACCCAGTATATCTAAAATATTATCATTTCAACATATAATTGATATAAAAACTCACTAATGAGGTACTTGAGATATTCTTTCTCTCTCCCTCCCTCCTTCCTTCTTTCCCTCTCTCCTTCCCCCTCTTTCTCTCTCTTTACCTTTTTTTTTGCACCAAGTCTTCAAAATGATGGGATTACTTTATAATGTCAACTAGCTGCTATATTTCAAGTGCTCAATAGCCACATGTTACTAGTGGCTACCAAACTGGGCAGCACAGGCCTAGATTATCCTTTTAGGACTGAGTTGTCTGACCACAGATACTTTTAAAGTAGATTATATATTTCAGTTGTCCTTAGATCCCAGTTTCTCTCCCCAAACCTTTTTTCCGCATAGACTTTTTTCATCAGTATTCATTAATTTCTCAACAGCTTTTTTAAAAAAATAAAAATCAGTTTTATTGATATATAATTTACATACCATAAAGCTCACCCATTTAAAGTACATATTTCAGTGGTTTTTAATGCATTTATAAAGTTGTACAACCATCAGCATAATCTAATTTTGGCACGTTTTTATCATGTCCCCCTGCCCCCCTACCCTCACAAAGAAACTCAATACCTATTAAGCAGGCATACACACAGTCTCTAACTTATGGTGGTTAGTCTTAGGATTTTTCAACTCTCCAATGCATTGAGTGGCTAGATGATTTTGCCTAACTGTGGGCTATTGTAAGTGTTTAGAGCGCGTTTATGGTAAGCATCATAAGTTGAGGAGCGTCTGTATCTCCCTCACCCCTCCATCCAGCCTTTGGCAACCACTGATCTATTTTCTGTCTCTAGATTTGGCTATTCTGGACATTTATATAAACAGGATCATACAATATGTGGTCTTTTATGACTGGCTTCTTTAACTTAACATACTCTTTTCAAGATTCATCATTATAGAGATCACTGTGATTTGAATGTGACTATGGTTCTATAGGATATTTGCACAATGAACTTAATTAAATGCCTGAATAGAACAATAATTGCCATGCTATTAGTGTTGATTGTAGTGTAGCTAGTGTTAGAATTACGTTTGGTCAGGAATGTACAAATGGAATTAAAATCTTAGTGGAAGCAGAGAAATAGTGTTCTAACATTATTACTTACCCAGTTAGATAAGTTCTTAGTAGGGAAGTACACAAGGAGTTACATACATGTAAGAATGAAGTTAATGTTTTTAACATTTTTCCTTAAGGACCAGAGTAATGCGGAGAAGCACGCAGATGGAATGATAGTAAGTTTAATCTAATCTTTTTGTCTCCCTTTACTTCTGCAGAGCATTATAACCAGTCATATCAGGAGAAGCCTGAATTTCTACTCACATTTCAACGCAAATTCTTCTTTTCACCTACTCCCTGCTTTTTGTTTTTGACTCTTGCAATTTTCCTTGACTCCTAAAGTTGGCCAGTCTTTCAGTAGTCATTTGGAGGGGAAATAATGGTCTTAAAATTTTTCTAAGTCTTGGTTCATATTGAATCACTTTGCATGTGTTAACTTGAATCATGGTGTGAAAAATCGGCTTTTATGATTAAATAAGGCATAAATCAACGCTATATTTCCTGTCAAATTTTCTTTTATATGAATGCAGAGGGAGAGGGGAAACACTGAAACATATCTTAATCTAATCAAATATGTTTATGGATTCCTGTTATTTTCTTTTACTTTTAGCTTTTGTGTATTGTGTTAACTGTCACCGGTAATGTGGTATAGACAGCATCTTTGTTGGAACAAATTACATGACTTCTTTCACTTATAGCCATTTTCTTACTGTTTTCCTGTCTCTTGTCTTTTTACTCTTCCCTTATATTCAACATCCCCTCTAAAAAGAGAGAAGAAAATTTTATTTTTAGTATTTCTCAGGTAGAAGTAAAACACTTTGAAGGTTTATCTTTTGTGCTACCCTAGTTTTATGGTAGCTGAATGACTTCTGTTCAGGAGATTTCTAAAGCAGGAGGCAGCCTTTTTTTGTCCTGGGCTTTACAAATGCCAACTTGTCTGAGATCTGGAAACACATTTTTTAAATCTACAAAAACATCTCATGATTATACTGAAAGAATGAGCATGTTATCTTTATATTTGGTTTAAAAATTTAATAAGAAGTTAAATATCTATGTTGTTTGCATATTTCTTAATAAAGCAGAGATAAAAGGAACATTTTTGAAATGTGAATTAAGTAGATCGTATTTTTACCTGTTCAAAGTGTGAGCCACAGTGAAATAATACAATTGTATGATATAAAGTAATATAATGTCTTCTTCTGAGATGTCACTGAAGATTGTGAGCCCCAACGGGAAAGGACTGGATATGTTGTCTAGCATTTCATGGTCCCCAAAGACCTAAGAAGAATCATGTTGGTCATTATTTTTATCTCTTTTTCCTCAAAGCCAAATTAGTTACTTTATATTATGTTAAAAAATAGGCAGGGTGTTATAAAGCATGCCAAAAACTTTTGAGCATTTGCAACTAAAAACATCTAGAAAGTTTATACTCATAGAAACTTTAAGCTTGTCAAAAAAAACATATTTGAGTCATTTGCTCAGGGACTATAGCATTTTTCCTTATGAGTTTTTATTTTGAAGAAACAAGGGAACTGTTCATAAATATAGCCAGACTTCTTGGGTTTGAATAATAAAGCACCTGTTCATGGTATAGCCACGCTGCTTGGCTTTAAATAAAACAGTCTTGCCGCTTACTGTTACCTTGTGCAAGTTACAAGTCTTAATTTCTTCATCTATAAAGAAAGCTGAAAGATTCTACCTCAAAAGGTTGTTGTAAGTTGCAGAATAAGCACACAATATTCAATAAATGTTAGCTAAATATGCTCATATGTATATATAATTTATTGCATATCATATTGTATTGCATGAGTTTCATTAATGTCACAGTGGATTAGGCCTGAGGATTATTACTTACACTTCTCAAGCTCTGCACATTGATTTTTTTTTTTTTTATTTTTGTAGTCTACATCAGAATGAGAAAATGCACATTGATTTTTAAAGCAAGTTGTAGAATGTAATATGACATATTTTCACCTGAAGTTGATTGAGCAAGGACTGTAGATAAGTGTAAAAGAGTTACTTTTTCTATCAATAACAATAAAAACATTAAGTACTTTTAATATATATGCTGTCAAAAGACAGAATTATAACAAATTTATCTGTAGATCTAATTATCTTTTGTTCTTGATTCACGAATTGGGGCAGCCTCCATTCTATAAAATAGAATGAGAACTCCCATTGGACAATGGCAGAACATTGGGTTTTGTAAGGTGGGAACAAGGAAATAGAACAATAGTGAAAAGGCTGATTGGTTAATATCAGATTACTATTCTTGTAAGGGTTAAGGCAGAAAGTACTTCCTTATTACACTGACTCAGGTAGAGTAATCTAAAATCTTTAATCTGAAATCTCCTATTTTTAGGAAAAACTAGTCTATTGGTATGTGTTCTCTTTCCTTAGAGTTCAGTGTAATTATGTGGCATTTAACATGAGTGATTCCATTTTGCTTTGGTCTGATCTGTTGGGGCCTCATGCAGAAGCTTAGTATTATTAACATAAAACAATGGTCTTCCATAATTTTTGTTTGACAATGCAAAAAGTATAAAAGTATTTTCTTTGGTTGACAAGCCTAATCTTAGAACAGTTCATCTGGAAAACAAAAGATTACATCTAAAAGTTAGAATTCTGGTCCTTTGTTCCAAAGTTATTTCTTAGTCTCTTCAATGGGAGGGATAAGGAGGTGATATATATTCTCATTCCTATGGATCAAAGTGTTAATATAGGGATTTTGCCTTTGGAAAGTACTTGGAGTCCTTTGGAGAAAAGCACTCTGTAAACAAGGAATTTATTTTAAGAACAGCTCCAAGGCTGTTGAGATACTTGTTTAGTTATTATGACTTGGTCCAGTATCAGAAAATAGAATCCAAATAATAACCAGAAAGCCCTTAGCAGCTCTATAAATCCAGACTCTTCTTTATTTTACAGACTGGGAAATTGTGGCCCATAGTGGATAAGAGAAGAGACTTAAGGATCCTAAGAAATTAAAATTCATAGTCTCTCTTTCTTTGCTTTTCTCAATGCTCCAAAACATTCCTCACTTCACTTTTTCTAGGATTTTGATTATCAGCGATTGTTTTCAAGGCGTCTTCTCTAACCATCCTTTATTTTTTAGTTAGAATATTTATGGTGGGTAGACTATTGTAATGATAAGAATCAGAATTCTTGTGTTCAAATCACTTAAGAGATCTGGTTTCATGATTTTAAATATTTATGTAGGTGGTATTTTTGGCTTAAAAAATTTTTTAACTTAGACATGAGAATTCTACAAAAACTTTACCATTATTTCAGTGTCCATTGTGAGATGCTTTTAAGGTTTTACAAATACTTTTTGGGCTCATTCATTAGCAAAATATTTCCTTTATAATTCTGTTTTCATGTTTTCTATTATACTCTACCTAACATATATTTGAAGTTTAGTTTTCTAGTTCAAGGAAAGGTAAAGAACTTGGATTTTCATTTCTTGGGTTTGTCCAGTTTATTCTTCTAAATGATGGACTTAAATTTTACTCTGACAAAGACCTGGCTTAAAATCCCGTCTACCTTAAACCCAGTAAACTATGGAGTCTTAAAATCCATCATGCTGTCAGAATAATTTTTTGGCTTGGAATCAGAGAAACCTGGCCTTATTTTTCCCTCTAAAATTATAACATTAAGTTTGAGTATTTTTTTTTTCTCTCCTAAATCCTCAAAAAGAAAGTCCTCTTCCTTATATACCCCAATTAGAAGATATATCTCTTTCCCTTTAGTGATCATAGAATGAGATGCCTATACAGTCAACCCTCTGCAACTATGGGTATCACATCTGCGAATATGACCAACCGCAGATCAAAATATTGCCTCTCTACTGAACGTGTTTAGACTTTTTTCCGTATTATTCCCTGAACAGTATAGTATAATAACTATTTACTTAGCTATTACATTGTATTAGGTATTAATTTTATAAGTAATCTAGAGATTTAAATTATGGGAGCATGTGTATAGGTTATATATACATATATATATATGCGTATAGGCAAATACTACACTATTTTATATCAGAGACTTAAGCATCCATGGTTTTTGGTATCTGAGGGGATTCTGGAACCAGTTCTCCACAGATATCCAGGGACAACTGTACTGTGTGATACACAGTGATGGAAGGTAGTGATGGTATGGGATGGAAAGATGATATCCTATTATTACAGGTACATTAGCTGGTCATAGGTGTAATGTTTAACACCAAAGCAAGAGAGAGAAGATAAACATGAAACTATTTGTGGTGAATTAAGAATTTGAGAAGCACTGAATTAAATGATAGGTTATTGTTTTGGCCTCCTGAAATCTCCCCACACCATTTTACAGCTCCTTCCAAGTTTTTCCATTTTGCTTTACCTTCCTATATGACAGAAATTCATTCATTTTCCCTCCTTACTATGCTTTATTGTAAAAAACTCTCACATTTATAGAAAAGGTATTTCATTTCCTCCTTGCATTTTGAGCAACATATCTATGTAACTAACCTAGGATTTTCCTGTCAGAAATATGGGCATTTCATTCATTTGGGAGGGTCAGCATGAGAAGGGCATTTAATTAAAAATTACTATTTTTTTTTTTATCTTAGAGTACTATTAATCCTGTAGATGCAATATATCAACCTAGTCCCTTGGAACCTGTGATCAGCACAATGCCTTCCCAGACTGTCTTACCTCCAGGTATAGTATTTGGAAAAATGTTTCATAGATTTCATTAATGAGAAAAAACTTAACTTGTGTGGCTGTTATAGTAATTTTATCTCTTTCTGGATTTTTGTTGTCTGTTTTTAATAAATAAAAGGAATCAAAAACTAATACAACAGAAAATGAACTGGAAGAAGTTGATAGTGTTTTTTAGTATTGGGGCTTTTAAAGTATAATGAAAGAAGTTTTATTTACAAAGTGAGATGGAAAACAAACATGGTTACTAAGATTTGGATTAGCTGTAGGACAGAATCCTATGACTGAGAATTTATGGCTAGCAAGGAAAAATTAATATACCCGAATAAGGGTAATCCAGAAATGTTCTGGTTTGGGGCATTCTTTATAGCTCTAAGCAATACAAATGGTTTATTTGTGGTAGATTTTTACATGATGAGAAATGGAAGGATAAAATTTATGATAACCTACTGATGATATCTGATGATATCTGTATTTTTAAGTCTAGAACAATAAATACTGTTATTTTTTAAATCTGGCAAAGAAGGGTTCAGGGCCAACACATAGCTGCTATACTTGATTCCTTTGCCTTTTTGTTGTATCTGACATTTCTCCCATCCAAGTACTAACCATGCCTGAACCTGCCTAGCCTTCTGAGATCAGAACGAGATCAGGTAGTATGGCCATAGACTGCATCAACATTTCTTTGTTCTCAATGATGACAGTGAAGCCTGAAATTGTACTGTAAAAGGGAAGATCCTTTTTAAAAAATACTTATAAGTGTCCAGGTACAGTGGCTCACGCCTGTAATCCTAGCACTCTGGGAAGCTGCGGCAGGAGAATTGCTGATTCAGGAGTTAGAGACCAGCCTGAACAAGAGTGAGACCGCGTCTCTACAAAAAATAGGAAAATTAGCCAGGCATGGTGGCACACGCCTGTAGCACAGCTGCTTGGGAGGCTGAGGCAGGAGGATCGCTTGAGCCCAGGCTTTTGAGGTTGCATTGAGCTATGATGACACCACTGCAGTCTTGCCAGTATGATAGAGACCCTGTCTCAAAAAAACAAAAGAATACTAATAAGTATGTGAAATTCTTTTGTGAATTTTTACTCCTAAAGAGAATTAGTTTAATATCTCTCAGGGAACTAAGGAGGTACTACCATTAGAAGCATTCGTTGGTTTTACAGAAAAGTTGTACTGTGGTATTGGGCTACCATGGCTTGTCTTTCCATGTGCTGCCTGGTGTCTTTTGTACTCTGTAACATATCATCAAGTTTAAGAGTTTAGGAAGTCTGGAGTAGTAGCATAGAACTTGACTTAATGGAATAATATAGTTTCTAAAATTATTGATCTTCAAGATTTTGAATCACAAACAATTGCAGTCAACAGAGCGTGTGTTTGTCTTTTTGTCTAACTTATTTTACATGTTCAAATCTCCTAGAACCTGCTCAATTGTGTAAGTCAGAGCAGCGTCCATCTTCCCTACCAGTTGGACCTGTATTAGCTACTTTGGGACATCATCAGACTCCAACACCAAATAGTACAGGTATAGATTTATGTAATTCCTTTACTTAACTCCCCTTAACATTTGAAATTTGTGTTTAACCTCTGATGGGGGAAAATGGCTTGAAGAAATGTTACATATTTCTGTTAGCAATGTCTTGGTTTTACCATTATAGTTCCATACATGAAGTGGTTAATTTTTTTATTGAACCAGAAGCTTTAGTAAGTAATTATAATTTAAGTAAAATAAAATATTACAGGGTTTTGTTTGTTTACCTTAGGATTTATTTAGGGGATCTATATTGACTTTTTAAAAAATATACGCAAGTTAGACTTGCATACTCTTCTTGTAAAGGAATCAGATGATGCAGAAGAAAAGCTGAAAGTCCTCTCTACTCTCCTCGCAGTCATCTGCATGCATGTATAATATGTACATGTACACCTGTATTATGTATTTTTATTGCTGTTTTTGTTTTAACCTAAATGAGATCATATATTTCTGTGACTTGCTCTTTTCATTTAACAGAGAGCTTTCCTAGAGAGCTTTCCATGTTCATACAGTTAGGTCTAGAGCATTCTTTTTACATCTGCCTGGGTGGGCATTACTTATTTTGTTCCACTGATGGCCATTTAGGTTGTTTTCATTATTTTTTTGTTATAAGCAATACTTTAGTGATATCCTTGTATAGTGCCATTGGCACATGAGTATTTTTTTAGGAAACATATATCAGTCTTTCACTTTTAGCCAATTTTATAGCCAGGAAAAAGATACTTCATTTTATTTTGTGTTTTCTTAAGTTGTTTAGATTTATAGTCTTTATTTTTTCTCTTTTATATGCATACTATTAGTGTTAGATTTATTTCTTGTTTTAAAACTGATTTAATTTGGGTTACCTGTAGAACCAAACTCAAGAAATCACTTAATCCTTTTGACTCTGTTAAACCTGGAGATTAAAACCAAAACCACTCTTGAGGAGGTGAAAGGTCAGCCCCTGTTGTTCCTCTATAGATTTCTTTCCTGGGTAGGACTTTTCCCTGTGTAATAATGAAAAATCAACCATGTGATTTTAGCCCACTTTCATATTGAATTAGTAAAGGTACTAATGCTATTACTTTGGTCTTTAGTAATATAGGCAGCTTGCCTTCTGCATTTTGAAAGAAAAAAATCATGAACAGTAGTTCTTAAAGCTCTTGGGAAAATACTGATAAGCAATTTGAAAAAAAAGGTGAAATGTTTTGGCTGATTTCTGTATTTCATAACCTATGTCACTTTATTCATTTAAAAAGTAGTACCTAGTGGCTCACGCCTGTAATCCTAGCACTCTAGGAGGCTGAGGCGGGCGGATTGCTCGAGGTCAGTAGTTCGAAACCAGCCTGAGCAAGAGCAAGACCCCGTCTCTACTATAAATAGAAATTAATTGGCCAACTAATATATATAGACAATTAGCCGGGCATGGTGGCACATGCCTGTAGTCCCAGCTACTCGGGAGGCTGAGGCAGAAGGATTGCTTGAGCCCAGGAGTTTGAGGTTGCTGTGAGCTAGGTTGATGCCACGGCACTCACTCTAGTCTGGTCAACTCGAGACTCTGTCTCAAAAAAAAAAAAAAAAAAAAAAAGTAGTACCTAGGCTGGGTACAGTGGCTCAAGCCTGTAATCCTAGCACCCTGGGAGGCCGAGGTGGGTGGATCGTTTGAGCTCAGGAGTTCAAGACCAGCCTGAGCAAGAGCAAGACCGAAAAATAGAAAGGTCTCTACTAAAAATAGAAAGAAATTATCTGGACAACTAAAAATATATATATATATAAAATTAGACAGGCATGGTGGCACATGCTTGTATTCCCAGCTACTTGGGAGGCTGAGGCATAAGGATTGCTTGAGCCCAGGAGTTTGAGGTTGCTGTGAGCTAGGCTGACGCCACATGGCACTCTAGCCCGGGCAACCAAGTGAGACTATGTCTCAAAAAATAAAAAGTAGTACTTTGTATGGTCTTTGGTCTGTTTTCTATGAGGTGAAAAAGTGAGGAGCTCTTCTTTACGTACATTAATTATAAAATAAGTTATTTCAAAAGATAAAGAGTATCTTCTAAAAATTATTTCAGAGCCTAACAATTAGAGTTAGGTAGATTTAAAGAATATTTGAAAATTAAATCAGAATGTTATTTATTACTTTCTTGCATGATTTTTTTCATCCTAACTTCATCTTTCTCCATCTTTCTTTACCTTTCACAAATATAAAAAAGAAATAAAGAACTAAGAAGTAATGTTTGCTCTCGTTAGTCAATCTCAGTTCTTTTATTTGCAGTTCCCAGTTAAACTCATTTTCTTCTTAGCCACATTTTCAATTGTGTGTTCACCTGGAGTATTTCCACATTACTTAATCATTTATAATTCCTAGTTTGCTTTTTCCTATTCCAGTAAGAGAATGTTTCTTTCCCCTTTTATTTCTGCTATTTGGGAAAAAAAGGAATTTGAAGTTATTTGCTAAGGTGTGAGCTACCTTTGGAATTTTCGAAGTATTACCTTTTAGGAGGCAAATTTTGTGTTGTGGTTTAAAAATATCTTTGTGACCATGTCAACTTTGTGGTAAACTGTTTTGCTCTTTTCCATAACTTTTGAACCATAGTTAAAGAAATTGGCTAAAAATTTATGAATGGCTCTGGATTTATTTTTATTGCTATCTTCAATTTCTCCCAGAACTGTGGCTCTGGCTTTTGGATTGTCAGCAGTGACTTAATAGACTTTAATCGCAAGCAGGCATCTGTAGTAGATTAGCAGAAACTGCCTAAAAGCCTTTAGATGCTCAATAAGTTAAATTGATCTTAATGTTCCGTTGGCCAGATTTATACTTTTGTTGTTACTTTATTCTTAGACAGTATACCAGAGAATCAACTCAGAGAATAGATGGTAATCATCTTTCTCTGGTTCTCCTTTAATTTCTATTGTTAGACTGTTTAGGAATAGAAGTTCTTCCCAGTCTTTTCCTTGTCTACATTCTACTCATAGTAGCCCTCTGTTTTTGTCTCTGTCTCTGAACTCCAGGTACCTGACTTATGTGGAAAATAAGTGAGGAATTTGGATAGAGTGTCTGTTTTCCATGTGACTGCCAAAAAACATTGGCTAATGTAGATGTGATACACTGAACAATATTTCAGTGTTCATGTGGTCTTGATATTCTTTCCATTTTATATTCCCATGGGCTCAACTGCTACATTTTTAGTTATCTGTATCTACAGTGTAAAATAAGGGCCTTGGCTTCTCATTGGTACTGGTATCTGTTGTGGGACTTCCAACACCAAAACTCACATAATCAAGAGATCCCTTCCTAATTTTAAATATAAAGTAATCTATAGAATGAGGACATAGCATTGTTTTCATTTTTAATATAAAAGATTTTTAAAATAAGGCTGTGTCCTCATTCTATAACATGATTTGCCTTTTTCTTTGTGTAGTTTAAATACTGATTTTCTTAACAAGTAGTGTAGGGACTTCTACCAACTTAATTAAACTTTCTTAATTTCAGGACGATCTGTTTTGACCCTATTTTCCTAATTTCTTCCCCTCCAATACCAACATTTTTCTCTAATTAAAATTTTTTTTAACTTCTTAGGCAGTGGCCATTCACCACCTAGTAGCAGTCTCACTTCTCCAAGCCATGTCAACTTATCTCCAAATACAGTCCCAGAGTTTTCTTATTCTAGCAGTGAAGATGAATTCTATGATGCTGATGAATTCCATCAAAGTAGCTCATCCCCAAAGCGCCTAATAGAGTAAGTAGAAGAATAAATCATGTATCTAAATGTCTCTTTTGATTTTTAAAAATGTAATTTCATTTTAAGACTGCTATTTGCCTTATAAATCGTAATTTGATTTTAAGACTGACAGATTTGCCTTATAAATTATTATTTGGTAACAGTAAAGAAGGCAATTTATTTTTTATAGGTTTAAATTGGTATAATGGTCATGTGGGCAACTTTTTGGGGTTTTTTTGGACAAAGAGTCTCACTCTTTTGCCCTGGGTAGAGTGCAGTGGCGTCATTGTAGCTCACTGCAACCTCAAACTCCTGGACTCAAGTGATCCACCTGCCCCAGCCTCCTGGGTAGCAGGGACTACAGGTGTGCCACTACACTCAGCTAATTTTTTCCATTTTTGGTAGAGATGAGGTCTCACTCTTGCTCAGGCCAGTCTGGAACTCCTGACCTCAAGTGATCCTCCTGTCTCAGTCTCCCAGAGTACTAGGATTACAGGTGTGAGCCACCTCACCCGTTTTAACTAGCTTATTAAGCAAAGCCAATTCTGTTTTACTTCTGACTTAATCCAAATGGAATAAACAGCACCAGCTATAATAATGTGCTGATGTTATTAGTTGAACTCTGCACATTGCTATAGCACAAACATTAGGAGACAATCCAGTGAGAGCAAATAAGCTACAAAGCATTATACATCAGATAAGTTACTGTTACTTTTTTTTTGGAGTGGAGATATTCAACACCTATAACCCAGGCATTCTATTAGGTGAAGGGACGATGTAGAGGTTAAAAAGACCCCGGCTATTCTCTGATGAGTGAAAAAAAAAAAAAAAACAGACAAACACAAATTAAAGAAAAAGATCCAGGCAAATTTATACTCTATGAGAGAACAGACAAACATTTATAATCCAGTGGGATATCTGGTATGGTATATGGTATCTAAGTCCATTCGGGCTACTATAACAAAATTATCATAAACCGGGTAGCTTATAAACAACAGATATTTCTCATAATTCTAGATAAGACACCAGTGGATTTGGTGTTAGGTGAACCTCCCTGCTGGTTCATAGACAGTTATCTTCTCACTATGTCCTAACTTGGAAGAAAGGGGGGCGGCTAGAGAACCATCTAGGGTCTATTTTACAAGGGCACTAATCCTGTTCCTGAGGGTACCACCCCGTGACTTAATCGTTTCCCAAAGGCCTCACCTTCAAATACTGTCACACAGGTGATTAAGTTTCAGTGTATAAGGCTGGGCATGGTGGCTCACACCTGTAATCCTAGCACTCTGGGAAGCCAAGGCAGGCGGATCACTCGAGGTCAGGAGTTCAAAACCAGCCTGAGCAAGAGCGAGACCCCATCTCTACTAAAAATAGAAAGATTGGCCAACTAAAAAATATATATATAGAAAAAATTAGCCGAGCATGGTGATGCATGCCTATAGTCTCAGCTACTCGGGAGGCTGAGGCAGGAGGATCACTTGAGCCCAGGAGTTTGAGGTTGCTGTGAGCTAGGCTGACACCACAGCACTGTAGCTGGGGCAACAGAGTGAGACTCTGTCTCAAAAAAAAAAAAAAAAAAAAAATTCAGTGTATGAAGTGGGGGAGGGGCAGGGGCAGACAAGCATTCAGACCATAGATAAAGTAAGGATAAGCACAGCAAGCTGTTGGACAATTTGAAGTATTGAGAAGCCAGGGAAGGATTCCCAGAGGAGGGGGAGGGGATGTGATCCTAAGGTGAGATGTGGTTGAATGGAGAGAAAGGAAATGGGGATGAGGAGAGGAGGGAAAATGGAAATGTTCTCATGTAGATGGAATCCTGTTAGAATGGCCTAGAAACTAGGTGAGCTTGGTTTCTTTGGGGAGCTGTACCTAAAACTGGTTTATGACTGAAGCATAAGGTATGGTGAGCAGTTTTTAAAAATAGATACAGAAGAGAGTTGACAAGGGCCAGGGCATGAAAGAGTCCTTGAGCCTTTTAAGAATTTTGAACATTTTCTCCCAAGTGATGGCAGTTGCTGGTGAGATTTGCATTTTAAAAAGATAGATTTGCCTAAATTGTGTAGAATTGAATGCAGGGAGGTAGGATTACAGGTAGGAAGAGCAGCCAAAACCTGGTAGTAAATTGAGAAATGTAGATGGACCTGCACAAAGTTGCTAGTATTGGGAATGGAAGGAAGTGTGTGGGTTCCAGAGATACTTAAGGAAGCAGATTTTTGACACATCTTGATAACAGGTTTTCCCTCGTTAGGAAATATTTGACCTTTTTACACCATTGAATGAAAGTTAGGTAGCTACCATTGTACAGAAAAGGTTTTAACAAGCATTAACGTTTCAGCTCTAATGGTCTACAGAGGTTGCTGTGGTTAAAACTTTGGATTCTGGAATCTCGGAGAGAATGAGTTCTATGTTTTATTTCAAAAGTGTGTGACCTTGGTCAAGTTCATTAACTTATGTAAGCCTCAGTTTCCTCATTTGTAAAATAAGGATAATAAGAGTTTTAACTTCAAGGGGTCACTGTGAATATTTAAATGAGAATAATGTAAGTCAAGTGCTTAATATAGTGTCTGGCACTTAGTCACTCAATAAATAATAGCTGTTATTATAGAAAGCACATTATTATTTATTTGCTTTCATTTTACTTGTGTTTGTCATAGACGAAGTTGGCTTAGTTTTTGTTGAGTATTCTTTTCCAACTCTTCTAATTTCTCCAGGGTTGGTACTATTGCTATAGCTTGGATTTTTGCTTTTTAAGACAGTGCAAATTTGGAAATAATTATATGTGAATTTGCAAGCTAAGTACCACCAACCAGTCCTTAGACCTTTAAGGTTAGTTTCTTTTAATAAAAAATATTGGGCAGGACTCTAATTCTCTTAAGTGTGCACATGAATTGAGAAATGTGTCATTTATATACATTAATAATTGCATCATAACTGCTCAAAATCTTGACATTTATGAGGAAAATATGTTGGTTCATGAAGTTTTTTGACTTAGTGGGTCAAATTCAACTTTTGAATATGGGAAAAAAATGAAATATACTTGGTCTAGCTGATCAAATGCAGTTAAGGCATGACACTTGAGTTAAGGAAAGGAGGTCTGAATCCACAATTCAAGAAAGCCAGTTTAGCAAAAATAGTTTGGTTTAGCATTTTGGTTTTTTAATTTTGTATGTTAGGAAATAAACTATTGAGAAACTGTTAGCAGTTTCCCAGTAGGAATTTCACTTTAATTTCAAAAAAGTATTTTTATGATAAATGGATTAAAAGAAAACAAGCATTTAGAAAATTCCAAGGCATAAAGGTTATAATTGACATTTGAAAGATTTAATCATTTTTATTAAAACAGAATTAAAGACAATATCTTACACTAGACATGAGCTATGATCATAGATATAGTTGAATATCACTTATTAGTATATGGACTCATGTATCAGTCATCTAAAACAGCAGTCCCCAACCTTTTTGGTACCAGGGACTGGTTTCATGAAAGATAATTTTCCAGGGATGGGGTGGAGAGTGGTGGAGCTCAGGTAGTGATGGGAGTGATGGGGTGTGGCTGTAAATACAAATGAAGTTTCCCTGGCTGGCCCACTGCTTACCTCCTGCTGTGTGTGGTGGAGAGGGCAGTTCCTAAGTTTCATGAAAGACAATTTTTCCATGGAGTGGGCAAGGGTGGTGGTGCAGGGGGAGAGGGGTGGAGCTCAGGCAGTGATGCACTGCCCAGCTCCTAACAGGGCATGAACCAGGATAGGGCCATGGCCTGGGGTTGGGGACTGCAGCTATAAAAGCATATGACTATTTTCAGTAAGAGCTTGATGTTAATAATATGTGATTAGATCCTTATAACATGACTGATAGTCTCTGGCCACAGTTTCAGACATTCCCTTGAAATTCTTATGAAATAGAGAAATTTAAAACACCTGTTGTACCTGTAATAGGCATGCCTGCAAAGTCATCCACATGCTCGTTTGCCTCTCCTTTTCCTCTCTCTTTTAGGCTTCCTTCTCTGTGCTCTCCCAGTACCTGATCCTATAACAAACACGCAGTTCATGAACATCTCATTTGAAAGAGTCCACAGTTAAGTTTTGTGTTTAACCCACTCTGGTTTCCTTTTCTCTCTCAATTTCACACTCTCCTTATATACCTTAATCTAGAAGCCCAAACTGGTAGGGAGTGCAGATATTTTATTTGAGTAGCACAGTGTTCTGCTGACTTGTTTTTGTTTTTTTTTTAAATGGGGGCTTTAAATCTCTTCAGCTTGGGTATGCTGGCTCCAGTTCCCTATTTTTAAACTTGGCCCTATTCATATATTTATGTTCTCTGCCTAGCCTCTGTAGTCATTTGAGCTTCTGACACCTGCTGGTCATCAGCTGCTATTACTTGTTTTTGTTTTTATTTTTTTTTTGAGACAGAGTCTTGCTTTGTTGCCCAGGCTAGAGTGAGTGCTGTGGCATCAGCCTAGCTCACAGCAACCTCAAACTCCTGGGCTCAAGCAATCCTTCTGCCTCAGCCTCCTGAGTAGCTGGGACTACAGGCATGCACCACCATGCCCAGCTAATTTTTTCTATATATATTAGTTGGCCAATTAATTGTTTCTATTTATAGTAGAGACGGGGTCTCGCTCTTGCTCAGGCTGTTTTCGAACTCCTGACCTGGAGCTATCCGCCTGCCTCGGCCTCCCAGAGTGCTAGGATTACAGGTGTGCTATTACTTGTTTATAACTCTCAGGCCAAATTTCTATCTACTATTTTCTCTGTCTTTCTCAAAAATGAGAACTTGAAAGCTTAAGTCCTCTCACTATTATTCTGTTTCTAAAGACCTGTAGTAATGATAGCTCCTGTGAATTGTGTTATTGAGCAGTGTGGTTTTCACATTTGTAAATTAGATGAAATTACATGTTGGAGAGAACTTGTACTTTGGAGCCAAGCATGCATTTTAAATGGCTTCACTATGCTCCAGCATATGACTTCGGGCAGGTCATTGAACCTCTGAGCATCTGTGTATTAAAAAGAGTAATCATGTCTGCCTCATAGGGTTGTTTTGAAGGTGATACACATAAAGTGTATGGCTCATACATACTAGATATTCAATAAATTGTTATAATTTAGAGCTTTAAATGTTTCAGTATACTTTGTATCTTTTGCTTAAATTCTAGACAACTTAGTCGGTTGCATATAAACCTTTCCTGTGTGCATATTTGTTATTGTTTGTCTTTAACTATATTCTTCATATCCTTTGTTCCATAAGGTAAATTATGGAATGGCTGAGAATTTATCCAATTTCTTTCCATTTTCAGCCTTATTGAGTATTTCACTTGGCCTGCACATGGTTTCTAACCATGGATGAGGAGAAAAAGCAAAACACAAATAGATTTGATTTTTGGAATTGCATCTAACCTACAATTCTAGTCTTGTAGGATTTGGGGGTTTCAGATCAATTAATTTAAAAAATCAACTCTATTTTGATCGTGTATGAAAGAGCCACAAAACATTTGGAAGATAATTTTCATGCAGTTCTTTTATGTAATGATAATTTGATTTTTTTTGCCTAGGTCTTTTACTCATATTTTCCATTGCCTCTCAAAACTGGTGAGGTAGACATTAGTTACAGTACAAAGAAGCAATATTTAGTTACCTAAGGAGTTTTGAAAAATAGATCAAAAGAAGGTAAGTAACCAGGGCAAACTATGTTTAAATTAGAATACATAATATATTCTAATATTCTAGTGTTCTGATGCAAGCAGAGCCCAGAGGATTTTTAGGGCAGTGAAACTATTCTTTATGATATAATGGTGGTGGATACTTGTCATACATTTGTCAAAGCTCATAGATTGCACAGTGCAAAAGTGAACCCTCATGTAAACCATGGACTTTGTGTAGTAATGATGTGTCAGTGTAGGCTCTTCGATTGTAACAAATGTGCCACTCTGCTGTGGGATGTTGATAGCTGGGGAGCTTATGCATGTATGTAGGGGCAGGGAGGGAACTCTCTGCTTTCTGTTCAATTTTGCTGTGAACCTAACCTGTTCTATAAGATGAAGTTTATTAATTAAAAAAATGAAAAGGCAAGTAAGCATGGCAAACTCTGTTTAAATTAGAATGCAATATGATTCATGTGTGTAGATTTGTAATAAGAGTTATATGTGTACCATTTTATAAATATCTGTAGTATGAGAAATTTGGTTTCTATTTTTACATTTAATAAGTAAACTGTATCCCTTTCTGATATGCTTTTATTTATATACAAATACATGGGTAAGTTTTGATCATAGCTACAATAATTTAATAGAAGCTTTCTTTAGACCTGTTAACCAGTTCATAAAGCTAGTTACTGTAAGTTTATTAGTAAAAAAAAGTATATCTTTTTCATTTTATACTTTCAATTACAGTTTTCTAATGACTGGAAAGAGTGTTAGTACCAGTGTGGGCTTTTATTATAGGGTCTCAAAAATATAGATGACATTTTTCTCAGACTTAATAATAGACTGATGCCAGTTTTTATTTTTGCCAAGAATTGTGACATATCTACATTTATACAAAGTAACAAAATCAGAAAATGAACTCTAGTTTTAAACTTAGATGCAGAGGCAAAAATCTCACTAATTTTTGATGACCCGTGGCTTGCCTTTCAACATGATTTGGTTGAGCACACACTGCAAAAAGCACAAGATGAGAACTTGTCATCAGACTTTACAGTTTATAATCTTGGAATGAGGGTGGCAGGGAAAGAGTCGGAAAGTGTGTGTGTGTGTGTGTGTGTGTGTGTGTGTGTGTGTGTGTGTGTGTGTGTGTAAAACCAGCTAATTCTAAGAGTCTAGTCTCTGTCACTATGTGGATATATTGGTTAAGTAGCTTTATAGGTTGTCTTACTATGTTTATCAATTGATTTCTTTAGCTTAAGAAAGATGTTAATGTTGTTTTAGTTCTTCTGGATCTGCCTCAGTTTTGACACACAGCAGCTCGGGAAATAGTCTGAAGCGCCCAGATACCACAGAATCACTGAATTCTTCTATGTCCAATGGGACAAGCGATGCTGGTAAGTGACCCTTGAGAATTTAACTTTTTTTTCCTTAAAAACATTTATAATACTGGTAGAAACACAGTTTGGCTCATTTTAACACCAATCTGACAAGATTTGTTTTATTTTAGACCTTTTCGATTCACATGATGATAGAGACGACGATGGGGAGGCAGGGTCAGTGGAGGAGCACAAGAGCGTTATCATGCACCTCTTGTCACAGGTTAGGCTTGGAATGGATCTCACTAAGGTAAGAACCAGATTTGGCATTTGCCGTAAGTCTTAACTAGTATGTGTGGATTCTCAGTGGTTGTATGGTGAGCGTGCTTATAAATATAGTAAAATGATATAACTTCTGTCTATACTTGTGCTGCGTTGTGATTTAATTAACATATATGTAGATGAGTAAACTGAAAATTTTATAAATGAACGAAATAAGTGAAGCTAGAATAATTTTATAGAGGATAGTATGTATGTGTTGTATGGATTAAGATTTGGAGTTTATTTAGGGCAAATGAGGAATAGGAATAACATTGGGCTTGTTTAGTAGTTTGGGCAAAGCTTAAAGCAGTGTTGTATACAGTGAATCAAAATGAGCAGAGTTCTGATATTGAGGTCAGAGGACCTATGTTTGCATCCTACCTCTGCTATTACCAAACTATGCGGCCTTGAGCACGTCCCTGCCTCTGTGATCTTCAGGATTCTCACATGCAAAGTGGACATTCAGTGATCTACTTCACAGGGTTATTGTAAGGAATAGAAGAGGTAGTGAATCTAAAATTATATGACACATGTTGGGTCATACAATTACTGTAGTCTGGATTTGAATTTGAATTTAAACTTAGTGCTCTAAACAGAATCCCCGATTGAGTTAAGAGACTGGTACCTTTGTATACTCCTGCCACTGTGCTAGAAGTCTCATCCTTTTAATTCTCACCACAGAACTGCAAAGTAGATATTATTGTCAATTCCGTTTTATAGATGAGGAAACTAAAACTCACAGAAGTTAAGTAACGTGGCTGAGTCATAATAAGTGGCAGACTGAGATTCTAATCTGGTCTGTGATTTTAAGACCTGTAATTTTGTTTTGTTTTGTTTGTTTTTGGTGTTTTTTTGAGACAGAGTCTTACTTTGTTGTCCAGGCTGGAGTGAGTGCCATGGTATCAGCCTAGCTCACAGCAACCTCAAACTCCTGGGCTCAAGCAATCCTTCTGCCTCAGCTTCCCGAGTAGCTGGGACTACAGGCATGCGCCACCATGCCCAGCTAATTTTTTCTATATATATTAGTTGGCCAATTAATTTCTTTCTATTTATAGTAGAGACAGGGTCTCGCTCTTGCTTAGGCTGGTTTCGAACTCCTGACCTCAAGCAATCCCCCCGCCTCGGCCTCCCATAGTGCTAGGATTACAGGCGTGAGCCACTGCTCCGGCCAAGATCTGTAATGTTTCTACTATTGCCTTTGTCTTTAAGATGAGCTGTAGTATCTTTCATATTGGTTAAATTATTATTCTATCCAGTATCAGAAAGTTAATTAAATTTAGAATTTTTGCTTCTGTTAGGACAAAAGCAACTCCAATGCTGTAGTCAGTAGTGAGCTTCATTTTGGTTTTGGATTTAAAGGGCCATTAAGAAAAAGACTAATCCATAATATTTAATACCTTATAATAAGTGTTTATAGTAGAACCTCTACCCCTAATCTAAGTGAGAACAGAAACATAAGGATAGCATTAATTTGTGAAACCCAGCATACTTATCAGGAATGTTCTGGGTAGGAGAATATTTGTAGGAGTTTTTTCCCATAATTGCTTTAATAATAATTTTCTTTCATAGCTGCTGGCTTTTCTGTGGTTGTTGTTATGAAGCAGATTCTTTTTTAGAAGTGGCCCATCCGGCTTCCTGTAGAATCTCATTGACCACGTGTCTGGGCCTAAACCAATCACTGCCAAGGGAAGTTAAATGATTGGTTTAAATGAATCCACATTCACCCCTTGAAACTTGAGAATAAGGGCTATGGCTTCCTATAGCCAGATCTGAAATGAATCCAGGTTCTTTTGGGGATGAAGCATGGATGTCAGGAGGCAGTAAAAAGTGTCTGCCATGATCAGCTTTGTAATTCTTCCTTCATATAATTTTCTCTGCCAGATAATCTGTATTTGGGTCTATAGCTACTAAAAGCTTGTTATATTATGAATGATATTATAATAATTATTACTGACTATATTAAAAATAAGCCATTAGAAATCTTTTTCAGCACAAATGGCTCTGATTGCTAACAGATTCTGAAATTTTGATTCCTTTTACACATTCCAAAGTGTCATTTCAATAATGCCTTAAATTTGTATCTTTTATAAGAATGTTTTCTCACTTCAGATACTTTCCAAAAAGAATTTATTCCCAAATGTTTTGTCGTTTTTAGGGATACTACAAAGTCACATCCCATTTGCCTCACTCTTCAGAACAATATATATATTAGGTCATGTATATATATATATTAGGACCTGAATGTATTAGGTCATTAAATATGAAATGTCCGATTTTGAATCAAAAGTGTAGTTTATTGTATTTCAAACAAGAAGCAGTACAATTAAAATATGTGCCTAAACTACTGACACAGTTTTGCCATCTTAACAGTAGCTGGTTTATGCCAGCAGTGAGGAATCCTGGAGAAACTAGTGGCAGTGAAATCGTGAAAGGTATTTTCTACCGTTTGTTGAGAATTGAACATTTTTCCTTCCAAGAAGTTGTCCAAAGCCTGAAAGAAATGATTGTTGGTACGAGGTCTGGTGAATACAGTAGATGATGACAAGAGAGTTAGTTTCCAAGTCTAGTTGCTATAGTTGAGCAGTGTTGTTTGTGTGACTTTTGGTCCAGCGTTGTGTTGCAAGAGGATTGGCCTGTCTCTATTGACCAGTCTCGGCTGCTTAATCGCAAGCATCCTCGTCATTTCATCCAATTAGTTGCAGTACATATCTGCTGTAATCGATTGACCAGGCTTCATGAAGCTATAGTGATAATGCTAGCACTAGACCCCCAAACAGACACCATTAGGTTTTTTTGATGAATATTTGGTTTTGGACTTTGTTTTGGCTCTTCATCTTTATCCAACCATTGTGCCGAACGCTTTCTATTGTCAAAAGAATCCGTTTTTTATCACAAGTCACAATACAAATGGTTCGCCTTTATGTCACAAATAAAGGCAAGCTTTGACATGATTTCTCTTCTGATGCTCGTTTAATTCATGCAGAACCCATCTATCCAGCATCTTCACCTTGCCTATTTGTTTCAAATGGATCAGTATTGTTGGAATAGTAATGTCAAACCTTGCTGCTAATTCACACGTAGTTTGAGATAGATTTGCTTCCACTGTAGCTTTCAGCTTATTGTCCAGGTCTCAGGTTGCCTGTGTGGCTCATTTTCAAGATTAAAATCATAAGAATGGAATTTTTCAAACCATCAGTGTACTGTGTGTTCATTAGCCACATCCTTCCCAAACACTTAGTGATATTTCAAGCTGTCTGCACTGCATTGGTTCCACAACATAACTCATATTCGAAAATAACATGAATTTTTGACTTATGTATGGTCTCACAAAAATTATTCTGAAAAAAATTTTTGAAATATAATCACAAGCCACAACATGTGTTTGAAAGACTGAGGAGGATGTACCTTCACAATAAAAATAAAACAAGTGAAATGTCAGAGATATCAGCTTAGTACTTAAGGAAATCGGACATTTCATACTTAATAACCTAATGAAAGCAGTGCATGTAATTATCCTCCTTTTATAGGAACTTAGAGAAGTTGAGTTAATTTTCCAGAGCTGCTTCACAGCTAAGAAGTAGCAAAACAAGTGACTGAACCCAGTTTGAAGACAACCATGTCCAGCTTTCTTCCCTCACTAGCAGTTTGTCATAATGGCATGTGTCAGTATAGTGCCAAAAACATTGAAGATCTGTTGAATGAAAGTTATCAAGAAAATTCTTACGTAGGGGGAATATATATTTTTTTCTTTGATTACAAGTGAAAGCAGACTTTCTTTTTATTGTTTTTGGCCCTTTTTTAAATTATTCAATTCATTTGTCCATCTTTCTGCCATAGTGATCTTTTAGTTGTGGATTTGTAAGAGCTGTTTATATATTAAAGGCATTTAGCCCTGTTTGATTCCCATTCTCTTCTTTTGTTTATTTCTTCAGTTGCTCATTTAAAAATTTCTTACTGGCTGGGCATAGTGGTTCACACCTGTAATCCCAGGACTTTTGGGAGACCAAGGCTGGAGAATTGTTTGAGGCCAGGAGTTCAAGACCAGCCTGGGCAATGTAGTGTCTCAAATAAATATATAAATAAAAATAAAAAATGGTTACAGTATAAATAGTAGTGAAAAACCAAATGTGAACAAAACTTGGTTCTTGTACTCTAGGAGCTCATTTTATATTTGAGGATACAAATTCATAGTAGGTAAGGTTCCTCATATACCTAATGATGATAGAGAAGCTGCAATAGAGAGGAAAGTACACAGATGCCCCAAAGTCTGACAGATTCAGTTTTGAATTCCACATTAACAATGGAACAGTGAGAAAATATTTTTTCTTTTTGCTATGAAAGAATTACCTTGAAGAAAATTTTAATAATGGAACAGTGAGAAAACTAATTTCTTATCCTCTCTGAATTTCATATTTCTCCACTGTAAAAGAGAGAGAATAATTTCTTCATCATAGGGCTGTTGTACAATTTAATAAGATAATGTATATGTAATGCCCCAGCAGATTGGATTGCTGCTGAGTAGTTTGTTGCTGTTATTACACTCAGGGAGAAAAGGGAGGTTGCACAGAGGAAGTGATATTTGAATATTGGAAACCCCTTCTCTGTTTTTCATCTGCTGTGTAAGTTAATGGGCATTTCTGAATTAAAACAATTGGGAAGTAGTTTTTAGAAGCATGTCTGAGGCCAGGTGCAGTGGCTCACACCTGTAATCCTAGCTCTCTGGGAGGCCAAGGCGGGAGGATTGCTTGAGCTCAGGAGTTTGAGACCAGCCTGAGCAAGAGCGAGACCCCATCTCTACTAAAAATAGAAAGAAATTAGCCAGGCATGGTGGTGCGTGCCTGTAATCCTAGCTTCCCCAGGAGGCTGAGGCAGGAGGATCACTTGAACCCAGGAGTTTGAGGTTGCTGTAAGCTAGCACTGATGCCACAGTGCTCTAGCCCAAGCAAGAGAGTGAGACTCTGTCTCAAAAAAAAAAAACACAACATGTCTGAGCAATGGATGTTTGTCATTGGAATGAGTTGTGTTGTGTTTTTGTTTCTGGTGTTTTTTTTTTAAAGCAGTTTAGCAATCTGTTTTTCTGTAGTGGAATTTGATCCTCAAAGATCATGTGTAATGTTTTTCAGGTAGTTCTTCCAACATTTATTCTTGAAAGAAGATCTCTTTTAGAAATGTATGCAGACTTTTTTGCACATCCGGACCTGTTCGTGAGGTATTTGAACACAGTAGTTTCCAACTTTTAAGGATGTTATTCAGTAGCTTTCCGCTCTTTTTTTGCAGGGTAGATGGATTCCTTCTTACCTTTCAGACATTTCTGAGTTAAAGTAGTATTGAGTAATATGTTTATATTGGATGCCTATATGTTTGCTTAAGTTATATAGTGTTGGTATTGTTAGGCAACCAAGTTTAACACTTAATGAAATTCTCAAGAGCCCATTAATAATAGGTGGCCAGTATTTACAGGTTCAGGGGCATAAGTTTATTTGACCCAGGCATTGGTAATCACTGTTAAATTATTTATACTATATCCTAACAAAGTTCATCTATCTGGGTTCAGCAAACCTTTCTAAAGCACCTGTTTGCTAGGCACTTTGTTATGAACTGGAGAAAAAAAGTCACAGTGTCTGCCCCTGAGGAGTTTACAATCTAGTATCCAGATTATAGACTGATTGATACATTTTAAACATAAATCTTGAAATGTCAGATATGTGTATATGTACTAGGGATAGAAATAATGTAATGGTGAGACAAGAAGGTGAGTTCACATTGCTTTTCACAGGCAGCAGGAAATTTTTCATTGCAATCCCTCTCCTATACATTCCTTGAAACCTCAGTCTGAGGTTTCACAGTGGGTGGGGACACTGGCTGCCATGGACACATATATGTTTCATTCTTAGGAAGATTTAAGAGAATCATTTAACCAGTTCCCAAAGGATAGAAATTCAAATAGATATAACAGTGTTTAAATTAATAGATAATGTAACAAATAAAATGTAAACATTTATTAATAACATGCAAGTAAAAATGAATGGAAAGTACCAACTGCTCACTGGATATAGATTTGAGATTTAAGGGTAGTTTTTATGTGTGAGGAGTTAAATTTTGAGGTCCCTAGAGGAACCACTTAAAAAATACAGCTAAAAGTACAGCTAAAAGGTAAATAGACTAAATAGAATACTAAAAACAGTTAATTCCCAAAAAGGAGGAAAGGGAAGGTAATGGAACAAGGAACAAAGCAGACATGTAGAAAACAAATTCTAAGATGGTAGAGTTAAACCCAACTATATCAGTAATATAAATGTAAATAGATTACACATCTCACTTAAAAAGAGAACAGTGATTGTCAGACTGGATAAAAAAATCAAGATGGGTTAGTATGCTATTTGCAAAAAAGAGACTTTAAATATAACTGATTGGTTAAAAGTAAAAGCATAGATAAAGATACACTATGCAAAACACTAAGCATAGCACTAACCATAACAAAACTGTATTACTATCAGAAAAGGACTTTTAAGACAATAATTATTACCAGAGAAAATAGTGATATTTTGTAATGATAAAAAGGTCTATTTATCAAGAGTAAACAATATTCCTAAATGTATATGTACTTAATAACACAGCTTCAAAATACATGCAGCAAAAATTGCCTAAAGGGAGAAATAGACAAGTCCACAGATTGTTTCCTCAGGAACTGATTGACCAAGTAGCTCCTGCTTCCCCATCCACTGAGAATTATTATTAAGGCTATGGATGATTCAAACAGCATTATCAATCAACTTGACCTAATTGACCTTTCTAAACACTATCTAACAATTACATAGCGCAGTCTTTTCAGGTACACACAGAACATTCATCAAGATAGACCATATATAGAGAACTCTTAATAAATTTAAAATAATTGGAATCATACCAGGTATATTCTCTGACATAGAAGAATTAAATTAGAAATTGGTAGCACAGATACAGAAAAACTCCAATTATTTGGAAATTAAACTATGCACTTAATCTATGCTACTAGAAACCAGAAATAGTGTTTGCTTCAGGGGCAGAGGTAGTGATTGCTTGGAAAAGGAGATGGGGGAACTTTCTGGAATAATGGAAATGTTCTATGTCTTGATTGGGTGGTGATTAATTAAATAGATATATAAATTTGTCAGATCCTCAAAACACTAAGAACAATGCATTTAATCTTATATGTGTGTGTGTGTATATATATATTTATACTATATATAAATACCTCAATTTTATTTTTAAAAATTTTATTCATTTTATCTTTTGAAGGGATTTAGATATTATACTGTATCTCAATTTTAAAAAGAAACTTTGAGGTAACTCCTGATCCTGGGTCCTTGATGCTCTCAGCCTGGTTGAGGGTGGACCATGCTGAGGGGTGCTACATCAGCTTGCATTTTGCCAAAAATCAGGGCATTAAGTTTTGTCTCTCTCCCTTACAGCATTAGTGACCAGAAGGATCCCAGGGATCGAATGGTTCAGGTTGTGAAATGGTACCTCTCAGCCTTTCATGCAGGAAGGAAAGGATCAGTCGCCAAAAAGCCATACAACCCCATTTTGGGTGAAATCTTTCAGTGTCATTGGACATTACCAAATGATACTGAAGAGAATACAGTGAGTTCTATGTTGACATTTTTAATTATCTTAACTTGTATACTGATTCAAGATTTCATTTTATTTAGGAGCAGATAATAATGATCAGAGGATGCTCAGCACCTATAGAAGAACATTGTTATTAGATCATCGTATTTTGAATATAATGAGAAGGGGGAAAGAGTGGGATGAGAAGAGGATGGAGATTTAGAAATCAGATCATGCAAGGCCTTGTAAGCCATAATGATAATTTTATGGCTTAGCAGGATCTCATTTTTGTCTTGAAAAGATTATTATAATTTTGTGAAAAATAAATCAAGAAGGGGCAAAAATAGAAGCATGGAGACAATTGAGGAGGCTTTGGCACTATACCGTGAGAGACATGGTGACTCAAGCTGTATTTCAGAGGTAGAACAGATAGGTCAATTGGGTAAGCTAAGAGAAAGGAGACAATTAGACAGGAATCCTTGCATGTGGACTTCAGCAGTTGATGGTGTCATTTACTGACAAGGAAAAGATTGGATTTGGGGAGGGAAAAATCAAGAGCTCCAGTTTGAAATACAAAGTATGGTACTTACTAGTACCATACTTAGACTGTCAAGAGGAGTAGGGAATTGTAATTTAAAAGAGTGGAGTTCAAGGGAAAGGTCTGAGGTAGAGATGGGGCTTTCAGAGATTTTGTTATATTTAGATTTTAAAAAGCCCTAGGATTTTAAAGCCCTAGGACTGGATGAAATTATCTAAGAGGACAGCATAGCTACAAGAGTAGGTAACTCAGAACTAAGCTCCAGGGTTCCAGTATTTAAAGATTGGATTGAAGGTGACAACCAGCAAGGAAGACTCAGATGCATGTTAAAAAGCTTTTAGAAGTGAGGGGGGAAAACTCTAGCCCACAGAGTTTGGCACTAGTAATCTTTCAGTAAATGTTACTCTCCATATCTTTGCCTTTCCAAGTGACATGTTATATGTCCTTACTAAAGATAGAGGCAGTATGTGTCTGTTCTTATTCATTTGGCAGACATTGATAAGTGCCTGCTCTGTGTCAGACCTGGCCCTGAGTCAGACACATGATCCTTACCTTCAATAATGTCTTAGGCTAGTCAGGGAGACTGACACAAAGCAATAATTAGAATAGTGTAATTAAATGCCATAATAGAAGTATGTATAGGATGCTTGGTGTGTGTAGAGCAGAGGCTCCAATTATCAGATTCTCTGAAATGTCATTCGTGTTTCCACATCAAAAGAAAATGTTCTGTTTGCTTACAGGAGCTAGTTTCAGAAGGACCAGTACCCGGGGTTTCCAAAAACAGTGTAACATTTGTGGCTGAGCAGGTTTCCCATCATCCACCTAGTAAGTTACAGAGCTCCTCTGCAACCTCCACTTTCAAAGTATTCTGTGCAAAGAAGGTCATTAAAAGCTCCATAACTGAGGTTACTTTACTGTCAGTTGTATGGCTAGCTGTATCTTTCCTATCACCTGAAGTGGAAACTCGAGTTGATTGGTTCTTCATGTCTGTGTCTGTTTCTTATGTAAGTTCCAAAGACACTTTTAACTTCACTAATTAAATATGTATAAAAAGAAGAGATTTGGGAAACCAACTTTTAATTCTTCCAAAGTCATCTTACACATAATGATCTGTGCTGTAGAGACCCCAGCAACTGTGAGCGAGTTTGTATAAGTGTGATATGTAGTTTCAGTACAGTATATTCCTGGCATAATGGAGAGAATACAGTCATCCCTGATACCCACGAGGGATTAGTTCCAGGATGCCTTGCAAAATCTGAGGATGCCTACAACCCTGATATAAAATGGTTACACACATTTGCATAGAACCTATGCATATCCTCCCATGTCCTTTAAGTAATTTCTGGGTTACTTATAATATCTAATACAATGTAATGCTATGTAAATAGCTGTCACACTGTTTTTTTAAAAATTTGTATTGTTTTTATTGTTGTATTGCTATTTTTTATTTTTTAACTATGCTTATCCCCTCAGCTCTTGTTTGTTAAGAGCAATATTAAGAGTGGAAATACAGGATGCAATACTACATGCTTGCAGACTATGAGAACAGATAGTAGTCCCCTTTTTGATTTGAAGCCACCTGGATTGGCCACAGCCTCATAGTTCAGGGAAGCTCTTGCCCACGTGGCTCTGAATGGATGCTTACACTGGGGGAAAGGGTATAAAAAGTAGGTGGGTATCTCCTGGCCTAATTTGAGGCTGTTTTTTGAAGGTTAAAGGATTTCTCCATGGAGCCAGTTGTGTCTCCCAGGTTAAGTGAGTTTGTAGAGGAGGCTGTGGCTATATAGTGCACTAACTGAAAACATTTTCTATTCAGTTTCAGCCTTTTATGCAGAGTGTTTTAATAAGAAGATACAATTCAATGCTCATATCTGGACCAAATCAAAATTCCTCGGAATGTCAATTGGGGTACATAACATAGGGCAGGGTAAGTTTGTGGGCATTTGGTGGACTACAACATTAACAAGAGATTTTTGTGTCATTCTAATATGTGCTAGGCAGCTGTCTGGTAAGAGAAAATGGCTCTGGAAAGCCAGACTGGATGTCATTGCTAGCAAGAAAGCATCTGTATTGGGGGTGAGAGCAGGAGTGGGGGTAGTAGGTGGGTTATCCCTAGTTGACACTACTCATCAGAGATTCTGTCCATCTTTCCACAGGCTGTGTCTCGTGTCTAGACTATGATGAACATTACATTCTCACATTCCCCAATGGTTATGGAAGGCAAGTAGAGCTGTGTCCATGTCCTCTGATCAGCAGTAGACCCTGCTGTTCCTTAAGCCATGCCCCTCCTCCTCTCTTTCCTCTTAACTGTCAGCCTTACCTGAAAACGTTTGATTTTGCAGGTCTATCCTCACAGTGCCCTGGGTGGAATTAGGAGGAGAATGCAATATTAATTGTTCCAAAACGGGCTATAGTGCAAATATCGTCTTCCACACTAAACCTTTCTATGGGGGCAAGAAGCACAGAATTACTGCTGAGATTTTGTAGGTATTTTGTTTTTCTGCCTCAGTTCTCTTCTGCTTCTCTGAGATACTTTTCCTTTTGTCTTAAACTGTACTTTCTGCATTAGAAATGTGAAAGAATGGTTCTGTCTTTATAAACTTGTTTCATACCTTTTGTGTGATGTCTCTTCCTGAAATCCCATATCAGAAGGAGACCTGAAACCGTGGGTCCAAAGCAGTCAGAGGTCCATTGATGGAATTTCCTTCCTAGGAACCTGACTTGTGATGAGGAGCTAAATAGGGCCTTCCTAAGTTACCTCACTAACCCAGACTGTGGATCCTTAACTCATCTGTGCCAGGTTGGACCATCAGCTAGTCCTTCCAGCAGACTTTGTGACCCCTATAGAAGTGTTTCCAAGTCCTTACAGCCCCTCTTTTTTCTCTGTTTGCTGGGGAAAAACAGTAACTGTCACATCTTGCAGGCATTTGGGTTGGTTCCGTTTGGCACTATTGGGTCAAATAAAGATGACTGTGCTGTCTCGGTAACAGTCAGTTGAGTGGGTTCAGAGCCTGCCTAAAGAGGAAAGTCTGTAGTAATGTGCCTCTAGACTTTGCCCTGGAAGGTCTCATTGGGAGCAGTGTCCTAGATGGAAAATACACAATTGCTTACTTAACCAGTTTTCAGTGAGATAATTTAATTTGGATGTCAGAATCAGCATCCAAAAATATCTTGAGCAGATGGGACCAGGAACAAGATGAAGTTTCTAAGGATCAGTATAAAAAATTATTCTAGTTGGAATATATGGGCAGGGCTTAAAGAACAGCATAAGACACCACAATAATACAGTTTCCTCCCACCTCCAAAAAATAGGCAGATGATGGACTAGGATGTTCAGAACAAATATATGGATGTGCCTGCCTCTCAGAGCACTTAGAGTGTATAACCAACACCAAGAGGAACTGCTAGCTCAGCAGAATTTTCTGCCAGTCAGAGCCATATTTAGTCAAAAGACTGCCCTTATAAAGATGTGAGCTGGAAGAGCTCTTGATGGGGTCTTTAAATTAGAAATTTGAGTATCAGATGAAGAATTGCACTGAGTAGTTCTCAGACTTTTGGGTTTGTGGACCCCTTTATACTTAAAAATTAAGAACCCTAAAGAGCTTTTGTTTATATGGATTATATCCAACAATATTTTTCATATTAGAAATTAATACTGAGATTTTAAAATATTTAACTTACAAATGAAAATAATAGTATTTCTGATGAAAAGTAGCTTTTCTAAACTTTAAAAATTTCAAAGACAAGTGGCAATGTACATTTTGTAAATTTTTTAAGTCTAATCACTCTGTTGTTACATATCACATACACTTGTGAGAAAATTGAGTGAAAAAGGCAAATAATGTCTTAATATTATGAAAAGTTTTGAGTTTATGGACTCCCTCCCTGACATGGTCTTAGAACCCCCATCCCTGACCAGGTCCCCAGACCAGACTTTAAGAACCACTGTGCAAAGACCTCATAAACCTGAGATCCTACCATCTTTCTTGCCTATTGTTCCCTTTCCCCCAATCCTCCCAAGTTATGGAGGACACTTAAGTTACTGATGGTGATAGCAGCTTTCATCCCTCTACCCTGTTCTTTTTTCTCATTTCGACCTCTTTCAGTCTTCTGTTCATACCCTGCCATTCCTAACTAGGCCTTAGCTATGATGCTTGTCTTCTCAAATTCCATACCTGTGTGTCCAAGTAAAGGACTGTCAGGGCTTTTGAGGAGGGGATCCTTGCTCAAGAAAAGTCAAAGCATTAGGCCCAGAAGTCCCTTTCAACCTGAGGATGAAAGCCTGGTCTCCAGCCTTACATTCATAAGCAAAGTCTTCCCTGGCCCTCACACCAGCAGTTTTGCTCTTGAACCCCCAGTGCCCACACAAGCTCACCACAGCACTTACCACTTAGAATCTCAATGGCACTGTCTGTCTCCTCACTAGGCTATGAACAGCTTGAGGGCAGAGAATGTGCCAAATCCGTCGTGGCTGCAGCAGAGCTCTCTTACCCATACTCGCTGTTAATGAGATCTTGAGTTCATAAGCATCTTTTTTCTGGGTCCTCAGTCTTACAAGTGGCCCTGGGAAGTCCAGTTCTCTTATGTTAAGGTGATTTTGTCAAGACGTACAGTTGGTCTTTTGTGTTCTACTCTGTGTAGATAGGCCATACTGATCAGATTCTTTGGTAGAGTAATTTTCAACTTGAGTCTAACACAAATGTTTCCTTTTCTGTTCAGTTCTCCAAATGACAAGAAGTCTTTTTGCTCAATTGAAGGGGAATGGAATGGTGTAATGTATGCAAAATATGCAACAGGGGTAAGAACCTATATTTTGCCACTTGTTTCAGGCTACGTCGAATTGTATCCTATCTTTACTCTGGCTTCCTTCATCTGGAACTTTAACCAGAGGCCAGCTCTAAAGTTGTCTGTTCAGGGCAGGGCATTTCCTTCCTTTCCCCACCACCCCAGCAGTGCAGGTAATAGAATGATTTCTACTCTTCTCTCTGCTCTCAAAAAACTTGAGAATAATATATGTAAAACAATGCTTGGCACATAGTAAGAACCCAATAGGTTAGGTATATCATCTGAATGTGTGGTATGTTTATAAAATAAAGTGCTAAAGTAAGTTTTAAGTTTTTGTATAATAAAATTTGACTGCCTGATACCAGGGATACAGAAATAGGAAAATAGTTCTTGCCTTCAAGGAATTTGCATTCTATGGTACCACTCACTCAGTATTCTCATTAAGCTAAGAAGAAAGGTGGTATGAAATTAACGGGGGGACGCAGTGAACTGGATTTTGGACATGGAGAATTCAAAATGTAAAAAACTTCAGAGAGTATACTTAAAATTAGGATTAGTTGTTCATGGGTCTAGCTCCCCAAGAGATTATATCCCTAGCATGTAGCACATAGCCACATTAAAAATGTCTGTTGAATTGAGCCTCTAGACTTAAGCCAACAGCTTTATTTTCAGCTTAAGACTGCATGTGAAAGTCATCATTAACATGGGATTTGATTTTGGGGTCTGCTAATTACAGTCTCTGGAAAGAGTTGACTCTTCCTCCTAGAACAGTGTGAATAATAAAACATCCATCTATTTCTTGTTTTCTAGGAAAGTACAGTCTTCGTAGATACCAAGAAGTTGCCTATAATCAAAAAGAAAGTGAGGAAGTTGGAAGATCAGAATGAGTATGAATCTCGCTGGTAAGGAAACAAATCTGTAGCTATTGCTGCAATGCTTACACTGTTGCCTGGGCATAGGCACAGGGGTGGGTTTTCGAGACAGTATAGCAGAGCCTAACAGAGTACAGACCAAGTTTGAATGCCTGGGTTTATGTCAGAAGCACCACTTACTAGCTTTGTAACCATGGCTGAGTTAGCTAACCTCTTCTTGCCTCCTTTCCTGAAATGGGAATAACGGCCTTGAGAGGAAGCCACATCTTATTCCCTCAAGCCTCTGCAATTCACCTCTTGACCCTTATTTTCTATGCTCATACTATTTTCTCCAAGATCATATTGTTAAATTCAAGGGAGTTTATCTCAGCTCCTCTGATCTAATAACCCTTTTAGTTTATAACAAGGGATACTCAAACCCTAGAGAGGTAAACTGATTCCCCCAAAGTTGCATAGCAAGTTTAGAGGTTAGAAGGATGAGAATCCCAGGTCTCAGCTTCCACTTGTTCTCTCTGCTTTTGTCCTTATGTACCAAACCGCTTGTCCCTTATTTCCTTCTTTGAAAACTATCAGTCGAGTCTTCTGGGCTAATTCTCCTGTTCCTTACTCCATCCAGTGCCCTGGTGCCAGTTAAGGATACTTAGTCTGTGAACTACAGCACTCAAGCCATTTGTTATTATGCCATAGTCAGAGGTGGCTCTAGGCTTTAATTGTCAGGATAGCCAGCTATTCTTGATCTTTTTTTTTTAGCCTTTGGAAGGATGTCACTTTCAATTTAAAAATCAGAGACATTGATGCAGCAACTGAAGCAAAGCACAGACTTGAAGAAAGACAAAGAGCAGAAGCCCGAGAAAGGAAGGAGAAGGAAATTCAGTGGGAGACCAGGGTAAGCTTGCCTGCCCCTAGCCTCTTATCTGCTATGCCTCCTGTGCTTTGAGCAATAAATCATTCACTCATTTCAATGAATAAGATGATCCCTGGTCCCTATCTGAAACTCATTTCAGTCTAATGGGGGGAGAAGACATGAAATAATAAAAAGCATATTATAGAAGTGCAAAGCAAGTGTGTAACTAAATTCTCCCCCTTTCTTTTACAGTTATTTCATGAAGATGGAGAATGTTGGGTTTATGATGAACCATTACTAAAACGTCTTGGTGCTGCCAAGCATTAAGCTGGGAAATGCAAAGTTTACATCTGATGACCAGTAGGCGTATTTCAGCAACAAACAATCTTCCTTTGGGAGAACCTATTCACTCCCTTCTTATTACAGTGGTTCCTATCTCAGGGATACTGACTTTCCGACACAGACGAACAATTAAAGCGGGAAAAGCTTCCCTTTTTTCCTCTGTGGCAGTTACGATTTTGACTTCAGTCCTGAGAAAAACTTCAGGTTTTGAAAACAAGATGTCTGCTCCTTTTCCAAACCCCAGGCATTGGAAAGCATTTATAAAATCCAACTCTCTAACTCTGCACTCTAGTACTGCTATTAAGATATACAAGCTCTGTTTCTTAGTTCATATAATTTTTGGTGTTATATATATATATATACACACAGACACACATACACATATAAAATATACCTGATGCCAGATTTTTCATAAATACTCCACCTATTGTAAATATGGGTTCCTCTGAGTTGTTTTAGAAAATTAGTGCAATGTATTAAAATCAAGTGTTAGGAAATTTCATGGTCTCACCTATAATAACTTTTATTTTGGAAGTAAAATATTATTAAATTGTAATTATACTCAGCACTTAAGGCTTCATAAAGTAATTTTTTCAACCTTTTTTTTATGTGCTTTTTATTATCTTTATGGCTAAACTTGGAAGCCAATTATTTATAGGAGATAGCTTTTCAAGAGACTCTTAAAATAATCACCCCTCCCTTATACTCTGTGTTCTTTGTTTAGCCCCTACCAAGCTATTCCCCAAAGTCTTCACTGAACTCATATCACATGTGTAGGGGTACCAATATATTATGACACCTTAGAGGGTTTGGAAAGACTGTATTTTTAGATCCCAGCCCCACAATGTAGTAAGAATGCCACAGCAGCAAATGGCTCATTTTGAAGGGAAATACAGAACTATCTTTATTTAAAAATACACTTTAAAAAATCAAAAACAGGCATTAGTACCTAGCATTTAGGTACCAACACTCTAGCATTTAGTTATTAATAATAACACACTGGTTACACATGGGGCTTTTCAAGAACTAGTTTCTCAATCTGACAGGACACAGGCCAGGGATTCCCAAATTGCTGTCACAAATTTTTTGGCCACACTTGGCTCACCCTGCTAATTTCTCTTTGCTATCTGCTATAATAACTCTGGTTTGTTAGTTTCAATAGAGAAGGGATAAAAAGTAAATCAAGTTCTCTGATTCCAGTGCAAAAATTCTAGTGGAAGCCCTAAGGCAGTAGTAGTGTAACTCCATAAATTACAAACACATTTTTAAATACACATTGCTTCAGGCCAACAAGACTGCAGTTTATTTGACTATTTTATGGTAGGGGAGAAGGTTGAGTGTTGATGTGAAAGCCCTGATATCAGTAATGGGGCTGATAGAATCTGCCAGCAGAGGAGAGGTTGGCAGGTAGGTTAGCTGCATCACTTCACAAGAAGAATTTGAATCTTCACTAGAAGGGGTGCTATCCTCTTCCAGCTCATACTTCCCATATCCAACAACCTGAAAGATGCCAGAGATTCAAGGTGAGAAATACACTGACCAGATATGTGGTCTCTGAACAATCCAAATCCAGTAAATACGTAAAGCTACTTTAGTTAACCATACTCACGTGAACGCTGAGCATTTTACTTCCTGGTCCTCTATGATCCTTGAACCAGCTGACCAGGTCTGATTTTGAGAATGACTTCAGTGCTTCAATCTTACATGGAAAGGGAAGATAGGAAAGAAATAACCCCTAGGCAGACCTCCTTGGTCCTGCTTAGCATCTGAGGACTACATTTTATTCTTCCTAATCTCAACTTGTCCCTGACCTTCCAGAGAAAGATAAAGATGAATTCTCTGAGGTTCATAATAAGCCTTTGTTTTACAGCAATGATCTACGTTGGCAGATGAGCAAGAGAGGTTAGCAGATGCTGTAATTACAGCTGAATACTGTACACTGAAGCTGATACTCAAGTGTCTCCTTATTATCACTTCCCAGTTATATTCTGGCTTGAGGAAAATATAGCAACTATTGAAACAGGTAAATTTTTTACCTGTCTTCTATTAAGAAAACAAGTGCCTTAAGGTGAGCTGTGCTGAAACCTCTTGTTAAACAACCTCTCTGCCTTACAGAGCAATGTTGTTCTTTGCTAATTCTTTACAAAGGATTATATATTATCAGAAGCAGCACTGAATTACAGGATCCAGAGCTTTTTTTCATAGTTTTTACTACTTTGGGCTTGTTCCTGGAATAATTTTCATTAAATAGCAGAACACTTCATTTTCCACAAAATCTTGTGAACTTCAATATAATATACAAATGGAGCTGCTCTGATTGAAACTGGGGAGAGAGGGCAGTAAGGGTGGGAGCACCCTGCTCACGTGGCCACCTATGGTACTAGGGAGGCAAGTCTAAGTAATGAAATGAGCAAGTAAGTAACCAAGCCAGTTTGGGTGTCCCAGGCTTCTCATGCATACAAAATACCAGTTTGCTTGGACCTGTGACTCCTGTAGAACCCTCTGTCAGGGGACAGTGTCGCTCTGAAAACCATGTTACCTCATGGGCAAGGCGGTCAAAGAGATACTGCTGTGTCACCACTTCATTCCAGTTCCTATCCACCTCCTCCCCAAGGTGGGTATCCTCACACTCCTTCAGCTTGATCAGAGCTGTGACCTGTTCCCAGCAAAAAGAAATGCTCAGGCATGGCATTATACCAGGCCCCCCAGAACACACCTGGCCTTATCCAGCCTGGCTTGTGATGGACCTGCCAGTAGGACAGGGAGGGATTGAGGTGGGGCTGCAAAGTTCAAAAACTGGTCAGCACATAGTGCTATTAAAACTAACGTCTGGTGTCCTGAGGGCTTATGGGGGTAAATATCAAAAGCCTAGGCTGGCACAGTTAAGTCACCTGGGTGTTGAATGCGTCTTCAGTGAGGTTTTCAATCTTCTCCTCAAAGCTAGAAAGAAACTCTTCTATCTTCTTATCGACAACTTCAGAGCTGAAACAAAGCATCTCCAATTAATAGTCATCAAGAGAACTGGTATCTCAGGGAGGAATTAAGAAGACATGACATCTCCAGGAAAAAGGCTGCAGTGTTTTCCCAGGCCTCAGCATTTTACCTTAAGTTGAGGGAGGGAAGAACACTCCCCCCAACCTTCAGCCCAATTTCCTAGTATCATACTGAAGTCATTCCAAAGCTGAGAACCAACAGGTTCCAATATGAATGTCACAACAGGTACCCTTGCCTTGTCCTCGCCTGAAGAGAAGAAACATTGGCAAGCCCTGCACAATGACCATAGGACTTAAGTCCTATAGGACCACTGGAATCATTGATTAGTCCTGGATCAGGCCATCTATAACCCCCTGCCCCACACCCTCTGCAGTGACTAAATACAGTAAATTCTGCTTGGTCAGAGTCATCAGAGGTTTAACCACTTCGGTACGAGAATCAACTATAGTTGATAGCCACAGAAGAATGTGCACAGCAACTGTAACCGACAGCTGCTGATATGAAGGCGCACAGCCGAGCATCAACTTTAGCCGACAGCTGTGATAATGACTTTTCTAATTTTTCATTTATCAAAATGAAATTGTGAACATTTAAAAATAATGTAATGAAAACATATATGTATGTTACCTATTCTGATTTACATTACAAGTAAAGCTGCCTGTAAAGTAAAACAAGCTTTCAGTGCTTTAAAGCGTTTCTCATCACACAAGAGCAAAACGGATTCGTCATCAATGCACAGCACAAACTATCGTGCGGACTGAGTGGCGGCTGTGGGCAAGGTTTCGCGGCTGGTGAGCACCGTGCCGAAGTGGTTAAGGAAGCACACAATAGCTCCCACTCTCCATGCCAGAATATTAGATTGGACTCCCAACTATTCACTCGCTTACTCACTTGTATTTGGTTGCCTGTGTCCCCACGGTGACAGAGAATCCTAGAATCCCAGATGTGTTCCTACAGGTAGGATATACATGGTACCTACAGCCAGAGTGAAAAATTATATAAACTCAGGTTGTCATCTGTGCCCTGCCAGTAGAGGCACTAAATATGAGTAGAAAGGGTTTCTGTCTATCCTTACTGGACCTGGAAAAGAAGACCCATAAATTTTAAGGTGTCCACCCCTCACCTGAATTTGGGAGCACAAGCTTTTTTTCTTATCGTAAAAGATGACCAAATGGGACACCTGATCATATTCCAAGAAGCAAATTCCAGAAGTTCTAACAAGTAGGTATGGAAAGTAAAGTATGGAAGGACCAAAGAGCTATGAGAGGCTGCTCAGTAAGGATATCTGATAGACCTCAGCATGGAGAGTAAGCCCCCGACTCTTATTTTGATCCCAGTGTCCTTGCCAGCAGACTTACCCAAGGGTCTGCTTGGTTCGAAGGAAGTCAAAACAAGGCTCTTCCATGTGCATCTGTAATTCAACATACTAACCGTCAGCCCAACTCCCAGCAGAGAAACCTCCATTTCTTTCCCCCAGTGTTCCACATACCTCAAAGTCCACCCTCCCTTGCTGCCTTTTTCCTAAACAATCCAGGCCCTCGGTCCATGCTTATACTGGGTGATAATAGTAAATGACCATCTTGCCTTCCAATCACAGGTCTCTGACCACCTAAGTACTCAGTCTCAGGAAGAAAGGCTGGGCCTCATAGTCAGACAGGGGCTCCTAATACTTCAACTCTCCATTATATACTTACCACAAGTAGCTCCATAAGAGTGTATTCTCTTAGACTCCTTGTACCTGACTGAGAGGAGAAGGTAGTCAGACCAACTGAATATCCAATGGCTTATAGAGCTTTTTAATAATCCAGCTATTCTTGGCAACCACTCATTCCATTATCACTTCTCTTCCCCCAACAGTTAATCATACTTTCATTTTGTTTAAATATCTGCTTTCACAACAGACCAAAGGTCTGTGAGTACAGGAATCATACTTGATCATTTGTATTCCCAGCACTAAAAGAAATGTAGGTAAAAATAGAGGTGAGTCCAATAATCCCTGACTTGCCAGCTCCTAACTAGAGGATCTCAAGGACCCAGAGGACACATTCTAAAATCAAGCACTTACAGTTCACAGCCCTAAGGAGGAAAATAGGACATGTTTGGGGATCCAGATGGGTGTATCTGGATGTATTACTCAGGTAGAGAGAAAATGAATAGGAGCTTCTGCAGCCACACAGCCCCAAGCCAGTTAAGAAAAATATCTTAGAGGCAGACACCATGCTTTGGGACCACATCTGGCTGCCCTGGCAACTGGCAAAATAATGCCGTCAGAATGAAAGAGGGCAGGAGGCCAATAGTGCATCCCAGAGTCAGGATCATCTTGCAGGCTCCTCTGACACAGTCTCATTTCTCTTTCTTCCCACTTCACTGGAGGAAGAGGCTAAAGCCTGTGTGCCCTGCAAGCCCTGATTAGTCAGCACTGAGACTGCCCGTTTTTCTCTAAAGGGGCTGCAACAAAACCAATCAAAACCTTGTATTAATTTTCTATTCAAAATGCTGTGTGAGAAGGGAATTGGTTTCCTAAGGGAGGCAGTTTGTAGCTAGTGCTAAGAGGTGACTGCTGAAAAGCACTTCCAAAGACAGTCTTACTATATGAAATCCTTCCTA